ATCTTCTATTATGTATGCATAGGTTGACAAAAAATTTGATATTCTAGAGGTTAAATACTGCAGTATCAGATCACCAAATGTTAGCAATTTTAGAAAGAATACAGAAAGATTTTAACTACAGTTTAAGAGGATATTTTCGTTTCCATCATCTTACAAACGAAAAAATTATTTAAAATGAGTATTTTCCCTTATTTTAAGTGGAAAAATCGTTCAATGACTTCTTCCGCCTTGCGTGAAGCGAGAGGGAGTGCCAGACTCTTATTGACTGAGAACTACGCCATTCCTTGTCCTGCTTAGAGCCGGAGCATTGATAAACAGCTAATTCGTCTTGAGAGCAGCGAACGCTATTTAACAATCATGCTTGCAACTAAATTGAACCTAGATGAATCATTATTTGACCAGAATACAAGAACTAGTCCAAAATTAATTTAAGCCTGCAATGATTATTTTTAAACTACGTTTAAAAAAACCGACTTAAACTCACTTTTTTTCTGAAGTCGATCAATTAATATACTAAAACGGAAAACGTTTTAGTATAGTAATGAAGGTTTACAAACACTTTTCTGAAAACCGCATCTTCAAAATCGAATCAAAATCTTTTCAGCCAATCGCGAGGTAATTGCACACAAACATGCATAAGGTCAAACTGGGAACTTCCTTCTTTGAAATCGGGTAATTATTTTTGTATTTAAAATTACCTTTACGGTACTTAATGATTATATGAGGATGTCCAATAATCGGTAATCCCCCTGGATACATTGGAGGAGAACGAGGATAGTTTCTCTTCCAGTACCATAATGAAAGCAAGACACCAATTATCACAGCTAGCACTAACACATACATTTTGGAACACAATTAAGTATGGACTACATGTATTCTAATAGATTTCGAATATTTATAACAGTCGAAGAACGCAGAGATCCAGTTTAGTTTTGAATTACCATAAAAAATTTTGAAATAAAAATTTTGAATTAAAAAAAAAGTTTTGCTGTGGAATATTTTTAGATCTATTTAATTCGTCTGCTCGTTTACCGACTTATTTCATAAAAAAACCAATTAGCATAATATAACATAACATCACGCCTTTTATTCCCGAATCTCGGGGTTAAAAGGCTTGAAAATTGTCGGGGTAGGCAGAGGTGTACATTATGCCACTGTACAATGTAACACCCACTTTTCACTATTTATGTTATGAGTCCCATGTAATAGAGGGTGAGCCTATTGCCATATACCGGACACAATTCCAGACTCCGTGCTACTACTGTGAATTTTTGAAAAACCCAGCAATACTTTACCCGTCCCGGGAATCGATACACCTTGCCCTGCAGTCGCATTTGCGACCACTCGGCCAATGATTCGGAATTGGATTCAAGAGTAAGCTTCCAGATCAAATGATAATAAGAGACTCAGATTTGAGAATTTTGTATTATCAGCTAAGACCTGTAAGATTATGGTGTTGGGAAAGTGCGTGGTTTTAAAGGTTAATGATGTTTTGACGATTAGCATAATGACAACAGACTCCATACACTTGTTCATCATGCTACAAGCCACCATTACATCAGTGGTGCTAAAATGCTTCCCAATTAATAAATAATTAATCATAATGATTGTAAGTATCACCTCGACTGCCTCGTTGGCCGAGTGGTCGCTAGTGCGACTGCCGGGCAAGGGGTCTCGGGTTCGATTCCCGGGTCGGGCAAAGTATTACTGGGTTTTAAAAAAAATCTCAGTAGTAGCACGGAGTCTGGAATTGTGCCCGGTATATGGCAATAGGCTCACCCCCTATTACATGGGACTCATAACATAAATAGTGAAAAGTGGGTGTTACTTCTATGTGCACCTCTGCCTACCCCTTCGGGGATAAAAGGCGTGATGTTATGTGTAAGTATCAATCAGAAACCTGATTGCCAACCAAAATAGTCTCATTTTTCTATTTCGATCAAGTACAGCCCAACTTTGCACACTTAAATCATGAGTGGCACTAAAAGTGTGTCATTGGTTTTTTTTTGTATTACCAATTTGCAACGTGACCATTTAGATTGTAAATACGTTTTTATATAACAGATAGCTTTTACCCGCGGCTTCGCTCGCGTCACAAAAGAATAAAAAGTAGCCTATGTGACATATACCAATACAGACAGCGCCATCTATACCAATACTTTTGTTTTTCTCGGGAATATTAATTTTTCCGGGTTAAAAGTACCCTATTATTTAATCCGGACTACTAACTTTACGTCTGCAAAAATTCAAAGCAATCGGTTGAGTAGTTACGGCGTGAAGGTGGAAAAAACAAACAAACAAACAAACTCACTTTCAGATTTATAATATTAGTAAGGATAATATAAAAATATTTTTTTAAATCTCATATCAAGTCCTCCTTTGAGGAGCCTCGGCCAAAATTCTACAAATATTATAAATGCGAAAGTTTGTGAGGATGTATGTGTGTGTATGTGTGTGTTATCATTGGTTCACGCAAAAACTACTGATCGGATTAAGATGAAACTTCACAGTAATGTAAGTCATAAAATAATATCAGAATAACTTAGAGTCTACAATTTTTAATGAATTTATGTTATTTTAGGCGTAATATAACACAAAAAGTTAGTTAAGTCGGAATCAAATCGGGCCTTCGAGACCTATCAGGGCGTCCGCTGCCTAAACCATAGGAGTTAGATACACAAAGATAATGTACTGTAAACTGTAAGATTGTTTGTCTTGATTAGTTCTAAATGAAAGTCCACGACAGCATGTAGGCAGATATCTACCTTTATGTGGAAGTCTCAATTCCGATTTTAAAGAATATTACGATTCATCTGAAAACGGATAACTGACAGGTAACATTACAATGGTAACCAACCTGATGATTTGTAATTCTTATGGCAGCGTACTTCCGCAGTAAATTTTTGCAATCGACGGACAAAAATGAATTCTTTTTTTTGGGTTGTTGCGTTGAATTTATAAGGACTATATTAATATAGTATTCAGCTGCATCAGGGATCAACTATTTTGAAGAAATAAATACAACAATTAAATAAAAATTAATGATGTACGATTTCCGCCAAAGAACGGGAACTATGCGTTTACGCAGACAAAGTCGCGGGTAACAGCTAGTTTATACATAATACCAAAAGTATATAATTACAGTTTCTCATTCTAAATATAAAGTCAATGTCAATCTAAATTATTATTTACATCTTATATTCTTTATTCGATTCTTTTTTGGAAGTCGGTGCCATAAGCTCATATCATAATGATATAACTTAATGCCCACAAAATTGTGAATTAGGTACCTATTAAGGTTTTAATGAATAATTTTGAATGGAACTTATGGCACCGACTTCTTACCTATCAGTGGGTGGGTAACCTATCAGTACTAATAATAGTTATATTTTGTACCTACAACTTGATTGTGATATTTTTTGAACTAGCATAAGGTAGAATTTGTTGACGAGACTGTATTTTTAGGCACTACGTTAGACAATAGGCTACAATGGGGTTCGCATATAAAGGCGCTCTCGGGGAGATTGAGCTCATCTGCTTTTGCAGTTAAACATTTTAGACAGCTCACGGACGTAGATACAGCAAGGCTTGTCTGTTTTAGTTATTATTCATTCTTTCTAAGTATTGTTTTATTATAGCTACGATAAAATAAAAAAATACGTATCTAATATTTTTTCATTACCTAACTTACGGACTACTTAATTATTCTTAATTAATTTTTATACACTGTTATCATCCCAATTGATATCATAAATTCCATGGCGGTATAAGTTTTACAGATCTTATAGGTCTCAAGCCATGTTACTCGTGAGAAATAAAAGTTAACACTAATAATACGTAGAATCAATGTTACTATTAAGACATAATCTAGTGATGCCCTTATGCTGAGAACTTTCTAAATAGGTGCATTGTATGAGATCAGGAAGGTTTTAATATAAAGCGAAAGGAGTGATACCAGAGCCTTACAAAAAACTGACGTGAAAAATCGTCGTGTGAGTGAGGTTACCGGAGGCCCGATGACCATCTAAAATCTCTCCAATCCCTGAATCCCCAACAATCCTCAAATTCTTACTCCCCAAAAGGCCGGTAACGCACTTGTAACGCCTCTGGTGTTACGGGTGTCCATGGGCATCACCTTCGATTAGGTGATCCGAATGCTTGTTTACCGGCTTACTCATTAAAAAAAAGTACATGCCTAAACAATTTTGCTTTTAGTATTGCCTCCTGTCAAGGTGTCAAGATGCAAAGTTTTATATGAAGTGTATTAATTAGTAAACTATTAATAAATATTTTTTATAATGACACACTTTTCTATAATTTATGCTGAAGAAAATATTTTTCACTATTTAAACCCAAGGTGAATAAGTAAGTTTAATTTGTACGTGAGCTGTTTGGCGATTTTATTATGACATTAATTAAAATGAAATCTTTCTTTTGATTATAATAATAAGGTGTTATGGTTTAAAATAACAATTCTATATTTTAGTTATTCTTATTTTTGACGACATCCGCAAGGTGGCTGGCAGTGGTTGGATGAGAAGAGCTGAAGACCGAGCTCAGTGGCGTGCCATTGGAGAGGCCTATGTCCAGCAGTGGACGAATACAGGCTGATGATGATGATGATGATGATATTTTAGTTATTGTATTAAGAGCCTGTTTCACAATATCTGGATAGCCGCTATCTACCAGATAAATTCGAATTAAGAACGTAATTTATATGAACTATCTGTCACATAAGTTTATCAGGTACTTTATATGGTGGTGGTAAAACCGGCGCTTAGACTACTAAACTTCGTATTTTTTGCTTTGGATTATTTAAAAATGCCCCCAAAATAGAATCTATCATCTGTTCACGATGAATAGTGTAGGGTAAGTAAGGAATATTGTGGTGATGGTGTGGTGGTGATGTTCATTTTTGTTTGCTTTTCAGAGAACTACAATAACGTTAAAGTAAGGCATGTATTAAAAAGACGCGTGGTTGTTAATATTTTATTCGTAAGTTAAGATCTTATTGTAAAACTAACGAGAGTTGGCTTAATTGGTTTTAATATAACTTCATATTTCCAGTACAATTGACTAATATCTGCAGATAATTTGAAATTTCGAACGATATGCGCAACCGATGTCTTTAGGGTCATCATAGCGTACTGCTTTCCTGTAAAAATAAGAGAAATAAGTACGTAATATAAATAGTAAGTCCATACCAAAATTATAATTACAATGAGAAAAATATAATATAAGAAAAGAAAATTTACAAAGTATATACAGTGACTATACCTACCGATGCAGTTTCGCTTCCCAATGCCAAACGGTGCGTATACGTTGGGGTTAGTAGGCAAAGTGTCAGGATTTAACCATCGCTCCGGTTTGAACTGCTTTGAATCTGGTCCCCATGAGGGGTGGCGGTGAAGGTAGTATAATACCAAAATACATGTACTCCCAGCCCTTAATGTATATTTTGCTGAAATACCAAGAGACTTTGAAAATAATTCCATCTTAGAATAGAGTGTAGATAACAATGACAATACTAATATCTGCTGATAATACATACGGAAGACGATATCAGTGTCAATATGTCTTGATACCCAAGGAGCTATAGAATATATCCTCAAGACCTCTTTTATCACAGCTTCTAAGTAAACCAGTTTTGGTAAGTCGTATTTAGTCAATTCTTGATTATTTCCGAATACTTCGTTTATCCTGTAATACGAAACAAAAAACGCACAATGCTGAAAGCTTCAATGACATAATAAATTAGGACGTCACTAGGTAGTGCTCAGCAAGTTATGGAGAAGGTTATGCTCGGAGTTTCTCTGAAGGTTAGGATCCGTAACGAGGTGATCCGAAAGAGAACTAAAGTTACGACGTAGCCCAATGAGAATAGCAAGCAGAAATGTCAGTAGGCCGGTTACATTTGTCAAAGAAGCAATGACTGTTAGGGTAGACGTGTTCTGGATTGGAGACCGCATTTAGGCAAAGGTAGTGTAGGGCGCTCTCCAGCTAAGTGGAGTGACGCTGGAGCTGACGATCGAGCTCAATGGCGTACCATTGGAGAGGCCTACGTCCAGCAGTGGACGAGAACAGGCTGTTGATGTAGGGTAGTGCTAGATTTAAACAGTCACGTCCCTCGTCGCAAGTCATCCGCGAGACGCCATACAAAAAGAAACTTCGATTAGTCTACAGTCTTGTATTTGATACCTGATTTGTACTATTTTTATGAGAATCATGAACTCAGCGCATATTAATATTTATTTTTATATTTCTTACTCAACAAAGACAATCCACAAAACTTACTCTTTGTAAACTCGTTCTTGTACATCAGGATATGATCCAAGCGCTAACAACACAGTCTGAAGTGCTGATGAAGTTGTGTCGTAAGAAGGTGCTACGAAAGTATTTAGATGCGCCATAATTTCATCATCGGAGAGGCCATATTGTTCATCAGATAAATGCAGCAACAGATCTAGTATAGGTTTAAATTTACCTAGAAGTCAAGAGGAATATATATTAGAGTTTCGATGAGTTTTCATAAAAAGTTAAAAATAAAACGTGTATTTTTTGATCAAGTTTATGGATAAAACAATATGTAATAGAATCAACGTACCATTAACTGAGCCATCGTCATAATCTGTCGTATTGGTGCTTTTTAAATCAGTTTTACGTTTCTGAATTATCTGAAATGTACTCATTTTAATAAGATACGTAAAGGACATGAAGAAAGCAATATTTTTGTGGCTCTCTTTTAGAAGACATGACGGATCACCTGGTGGTAAGCAGTCGGTGTCGCCTATAGATATTTGCAACACCAGAAGAGTTACAAGCGTTGCCAGTCCTATAGAGGCTAGGGATTTGAGGATTGGATTTGGGCAACGGGGGGAAGTGATTGAGCCTCCAATAACCACAATTACAACGCAAGCGTAGAATATTTTATGATCTTCGACAGCAATCAAATGTACATTGTACAATAATACATGCTTACGCTATTTAAAATGTTATATATCCTCGTCACGAGTTCCTGTTCTCTTTTTCTCATCGGAGTTATATTGTAAACAAATGAAGGATGTAATGCCACGTTTAGACCTCGGTTTACTGCTATTGTTACGATTTCGTCTATTGCTTGCGCGTATTCCTTGCCAATCATATCTTGATCTTTAGCTTCTAATCCCAGTGATGTTCCTAGAATTATAAATTGCTACACATCATAATCTTTATCGTGATATTACATATTATTTATGTGTAAATGAACAATCTTTTCAGTTAAAAATAAGTTCGTTTTAGGCTCACTCACATTAGAAGAAGTATTATTATCGGCCAATCGTAAGTTGATTTCACTGTACCAATGATCACGCTACTATCACATTTTGCTGGCACGTTTATAATGTTACTCGTCTTTCATGCGAAACAGGGTAGGCGACAGTATGCATCCTTGAGGTACTCCTTATCTTTTGAAGTTTACGCTTTTAAAACTGTTGCCTTTTACGATAATTACTGATGATTGCTATGATGTGTTGTACATAATTATCAGCAAGAAACATATTATACACTATATACTTACTGCAAACTGATCTTAGAATATATTTAATAAGAAATTCTTTGACATTAATTGGTCCTTGTCCCGCTACAGGTTTTAATTGTGAGACTAAATTTTGAGCTTCTACATTCATAACATTCACAAATGTGTCCAGTACTTTCTGGTTGAATGCTGGATTCAGTAACTTACGATGTATTTTCCACGTGGGCACTGAAATAATTAAGTAGAGAAATGTCAAACATGTATTAAGGTGAGATGTGTCGAAAATAATTATGTGTTTTCGCCTCTCTTATCATCGACGATAGTGCAACGTAGCGTTTGATTGCGTACGTGTCCAATGTTTTCGTAATCACGGAAAATATAGGTACAAGAGACTTCGAATTTGTATAAAACCATAATGATAATTCGATATGACTGTTGTAATAATGGATGGACTATTATTATGAGTACTATTTCGGACAAACAATTAGAATATATCACTGAGTGCAAGACAGCTTTTGACATGTTACAAAAGTTCGACAAAATGTATCTTACTCAATCAACATCTCTTCAAATTATATGTCGAGGAAAAGTGGAAGCGATCAAATTAAATAATTACGACACAGTAGAGGATTTCTTCGTTGATTTTGAAAAATCCATAAACGAATTCAAAACAGCCGGAGGTAAAATTGATGAACCTGAAAAGTTAAGATACCTGCTCAGAGCCCTACCACCAAGTTATAGTTATATAGGAGATTTTCTGGACGTGATTCCTGAAGAACAAAGGACTGTGGACTATGTACATTCAAAAATAAAGGAGAAAAATATGACTATGTGCGATGACAAGACAAATAATGTGAGTACATATACAACCAGCACCACAAGAGCTCAATGTTTTGTCTGTGGTAAGACTGGTCATCTCAAGAAGGATTGTTGGCACGCTCAGAGAAATAATCAAGGACAAAAAAGGTCTCAAGGAAGTTTCCAGTCGTCTAGTCGGGGTCAGCGAGGACATCAGAGAGGATCCTACAGAGGTCGCAGCCGAGGCAGAGGTCAAGGCCACTCATCTAGCAATCATCCTAAAGGTGAATCTTCGAGCAACGGTCCCTCCCAGTCATGGACAGCTGAAGTATGTAAACCAGAAGTAAACCAGGTATCCGGATGTAATGAAAAGGTAACATTTAATAATAATAGTAATGTAGTTAATTGGCTTTTAGATAGTGGGTGCACTGACCATCTTATAAATGATTATTCATATTTTTATGACAGTGTAGATTTGAAAGATTTTGTTGATGTAAAATTACCAGATGGAAAAACCTTGAAAGCAACCAAAGTAGGTACTGTAAAAATGTATTTCAAAAACTATTATAGTGTGAAGTATGTAGATTTAGAAAATGTCTATTATGTCGAAGGAATAAAACAAAATTTATTAAGTTTTTCAAAGGTAACTAATAGTTGTACAATAGTAGCTAAAAATGAAAGTGCTAAAATATATAATGAGTCTAGAGAGTTGATAGTTGTTGCTGATAAAATTAATAATTTGTATTGCTTAAAAGGTTATGTCTTAAAAAATGAAGTATGCACAAATTCTGTAAAGTTAACGCAGAAAGAAAAATGGCATAGGGCACTTGGTCATGTGAATTTTCAATACTTAAATAAGATAATAAATAATAAATTAGTTGATGGTTTGCCAGATAAAATTGAAAGCACAGAAATGAAATGTTCAAATTGTATTCAGAGTAAAATGACTAATGTACCTTTTGAAAATAATAGAACAAAAACTACTGAGATTTTAGAACTTATTCATACTGATTTGAATGGGCCACATAACACAACTGGTTATGGTGGAGAAAAATATTTTTTAACCTTTATTGATGATTATAGTAAGTGTACCAGGATATTTTGTATTAAAAGTAAAGCTGAAACTGCAAAGTGTTTTATAGAGTTTATAAATTTAGTAGAAAATAAATTTAATAAAAGAGTCAAGAAGATTCAGTGTGACAATGGTAGAGAGTATTTAAATAAGGATATTTATAATTTTATAAGGTATAAGGGCATAGAGTTGTTACCATGTCCACCTTATGTTCATGAGTTAAACGGAGTAGCGGAGAGGTATAATAGGTCTGCTATGGATATAGGTTTAATGAGAGAAGCTAAAATACATAGGAGGTACTGGCCTGAAGTAATAAAAACAGCAGCTTATTTAAAGAATCGTACTATTGCAAATACAGTTGAAAATAAAACTCCTTATGAGATATTTTTTGGGGTCAAACCAAATGTAGAGCATTTAAAAATTTATGGAAGTAGAGTCTATGTTAGAGTTCCTGAAGTGTTAAGAAAAAGTAAATGGGATGATAAAGCTCAACTAGGAATTTTAGTGGGTTATAATGAAAATAGTTACAGAGTAACTGCCTGCCTCGTTGGCCGAGTGGTCGCAAGTGCGACTGCCGGGCAAGGGGTCTCGGGTTCGATTCCCGGGTCGGGCAAAGTATTACTGGGTTTTAAAAAAAAAAAATCTCAGTAGTAGCACGGAGTCTGGAATTGTGCCCGGTATATGGCAATAGGCTCACCCCCTATTACATGGGACTCATAACATAAATAGTGAAAAGTGGGTGTTACCACTGTATAAAACAGTGGTATAATGTGCACCTCTGCCTACCCCTTCGGGGATAAAAGGCGTGATGTTATGTTAGTTACAGAGTTTTGTTAAATAACAGAATAATTAATGCAAGGCATGTACAGGTAATTGAAGAAAATACTCAGTTAATTTGTTTGGAAAAAGTAGACAATCAAAATAATAAAGATTTGGAAAGTGATAATACTTTAGATGTTTCAAATGAAGAGGTTAAAAATGAATATGAAACCGATGAAAACTTTGTAGATGCAGATGAGACTTATTCTAGTAGTAACGTAAATAATAATAGAGAAAATGACGTTTTAGTAGAATCACAGAAAAGAAAGAGAATCCCAGTTTCTAGATATGGTAATCCAGTTACACACTTTATTTATGTTAACCATATTGATGCAAATGTACCAAATTCATTCGAGGAGGCGATGAACTCCAATGATAGTAAGCAATGGCAAATAGCCATGGATTCTGAAATAAATAGTTTAAATAAAAATAATACTTGGCAAATTGTAGAAAAACCAAAAGATAAAAAGGTAATTGATGTTAAATGGGTTTTTAAAAAGAAAAGTAATAATGAATATAAAGCTAGATTGGTTGTGAGAGGGTTTCAGCAAAAAGATTTTAATGAAAATGCTTACTCACCTGTTGGAAAAATGCAAACTTTGAAAATTTTATTGTCATACAGTTGTAAAAATAAATTATTTGTAGAGCAAATGGATGTTGAAACAGCCTTTTTAAATGGTTATGTAAAGTCAGAAGTTTATGTAAATCAACCAGAAGGTTATAAAACAGGAGATAATAAAGTTTACAAATTGCAAAAAGCTCTCTATGGTCTCAAAGAAAGTCCTAGAGTGTGGTATGATTGTTTTGATATATTTATAAAAACTTTGAATTTTGTTAGAAGTAGTTATGATTACTGTTTGTATGTTAAAAAAGCAAGCAAAGATCCAATATACATATTAATATTTGTTGATGATCTTTTAATATGTTGTAAAGATAAAAATAAAATAAAAGAGGTGAAAACAAGTTTAATGAAACGATTTGCAATGAAAGACTTGGGGAAAATTAAAAGCTATATTGGCATAGATATTGAGTATAATGATGATAAAAATGTGATGACATTAAGTCAAACAAAGTATATTGAATCTTTGGCTGCAAAGTATAATTTGGTAAATACTAAGTTATATGATACTCCTATGGAAACAAATTTAAAATTAGAGCAAGCTAGTGAGGTCGATGAAAGTATTAAGTACAGAAATATAATAGGTGAATTATTGTATATTAGTACAGGCACAAGACCAGATGTAGCGTACAGCGTTAATTATTTGAGTAGATATCAAAGTTGTTATAACCGAACACATTACAAATATGCAATGAGGGTGTTAAAATATTTGTATAAAACTAAGAATCTAAAGTTAACATATTATGATAATGCAGATGCTGATATTTTAGACTGTATGGTTGATTCAGACTATGCAGGGGATAATGTGGATAGGAAGTCTACAACAGGTTTTATTATAAGATTTTTTGGAAATTTAATATTTTGGAAAACACGTAAACAAAATACAGTAACTAAATGTTCAACTTTTGCAGAGTATATTGCATTGTCAGAGGCAGTAACTGAAGTACTTTTTATAAGAAATTTGTTAAGTGAGTCATTTGATATAAACTTTTGTTATCCAATAAAATTGTATGAAGATAACTCAGGTGCAATTGCAATAGCTAAGTATGGTAACTTTACTAAAAATTCAAAGCACATTGAAGTGCAATATCATTATATAAACGAGAATTATGAAAACAAACTTATTGATATAATTAAAATTGATACAAAATGTAACTTAGCAGATATGTTGACTAAGAGTCTAGATAAATCAAAATTTTTGAAAAACAGGTTTGAATTAAGATTAATTTAGTAAAGAGTTCAGATTATTACTTTAAAGTACTGTTTAAGTAAAATATTAAAACTGTAATAACTTTAAAATACTGTTCATGTAAGATAAAATGTTAAGATTATAAATTTAAGGAGGTGTGTTGTAATAAGGTAAATATTATAATCTTAAGTTAAATAATATAAGTAGCGCCATCTAGTGTTAAGTTGGCAAGTTTCTCATAGACGTCGATATATTATCTGTATTCTTTCCTTTTGTCGTCTGCATGGCGCCCATCATGTGCTTTCTGTGAGATTTTTAATAAAACTACGAAATTTAACAAGCTATTATCTATTATTCAACCACATCCACCACTTCAACAATGACCATAATTACCGTCTGATAATAGTAATCCATTTCCTAATACATCGATTAGAAAGTTGTAAAGAAATGATTTCTTCAAACACGTGTTCGCTATAACACTAACTTCATCTGTGTCGCTTACAACTGTAACAAGTATATAAATAAATAAAATAAACCATTTTAATTAGGAACCTTTAAAGTGCGTCTTATTCTGGCATGTACGCGCGACTCGGCAATTGCAAATCACTCGAGAATCAATTACAAGCTGCTAATACAACGCGCAGGTAAAATGAAATCGGTCGAGCCGGCCATTCGTGCCGAAGCATGGCTCTCCCACGGTAGAAATGCCGTGTCGGACAATTTGATGTGATGTCCGACACTAGCGGATTAGCCTTTAACAGTTTTTATCAGCAGTTAAAGGCATAACCTTTTATAATTTATAACAATAGCACTTAAGGTTTTTAATTACCATAAATTTTATGAGGACCCATCTGAAGCTGCACACACTCGTCTGTCATATAATCAGCAATACGTTCCATATAGCTCCATATATCTGAAATTATTCCAAACATACGTAACCTAACGCTACTTGCTACGATTCTTAGATACCTTTTGCGATTCATTAACAAAAAATATTTCACATAACACGAAAATATTCGTGAGTCACAGTTTGTGAATGCAATAGTTTCTTTGTTACTTTGGGGAAAAATATTGGAAGTAAGTATGAATCTGCAGCCTATTAACTTCTTATCTGTTGGAACGTAGATCTACGCGAGACACAATGTGTTTTCTATTGGGTCTCATGTATCGATACATACACGGACAAGAGGTTAAAGAACATACTTGAGACTGCTAAACGTAGGTCTTCCTTAAAGATTTCCAGATCAGCCAGTTGGGAGTGACCTGATCTGAATTCATAAATAAATATATCCACCTTGTGGCTGGTCCTCACCAATTTTTCGAAAGATAATAAAAATAAATAAATAAAATAATTAAAAAAGCCTTTTATTTCTTACAATTGGTATAGAACACAGTGTTTGCATCCTTGATAAAAAGAACAAAAACAGTGTTGTGCAAGAACCCCTCCTCCTCCTCTTTCTAAAGATAATACATACTAAATCATGGAGAAATGAATCCTCAAATATCTTAGGAGTTGACAAAACTAATCACTATTTTTACCATTGCGATATTTTACAGCTTCAACAATGTGCCCAATAATGGGCAATGCACCAGGATACGTGCGAGGTGACCGAGGACGAGGTCTCCACCAGTACAACCATATTGCAAACACTACACTACATATCATAGTTAGCACCAACACAGGCATTGTGGAACACAACAATTACGAACTGCGCTGAAATGAATTAACATCTCATATTTATATTATTAGGCTGAATGATTAGTTTTCTCAAAAGCCATTTTTAATTAAAGAAACGTACTGCATTTTTAGGGTTCTACATGTTCTGCATTCAGAATGAAAGAAACAAATTATAATTTTGTAACTGCATGATTAAATATAAATTATCTGTTTTATCGTCAGGTAACGACTCAATCTTAATTCTGTTTATTACTACGTATACATATATGGCAATAGCCTCAACCCCTATTACATGGGACTCATAAAATAAATAGTGAAAAGTGAGTGTTACATTGCACACTGACATTAAATGGCTTGATGTACATCTTTGCCTACGCCATCGGGGATAAAGATTCCCACGCACGAAGCCCTTCGCATTAAGCTTCCGGGCGTACAGCTAAGGAGTAGAATTCATTACCATAGTCTATATTTCCTGAAGGGTATAATTATATAACCTGGGTGCTTTCAAGACCCGAGTGAAAAGATTGCTTAATTGTGGGACGACATGCTCCATCGTAGACCGCATCATCGCTTACCACGAAGCGAGATAATGGTCAAACGTCAGCCCAACAAATATAAAAAGGGCGTGAGATTATGTTGAGTGCATTTGATGTTACTAAGCTAGGTACAGGTTTATAAACACAATATTATTCTTTAGTTTTTGCTTAAAATATCTGACTGTTAAAATATACACCCATTTAGAAAATTGTCTGACATCTGGGTCCAAACTAAAAATTGGCTATAGTGTAGGTATTAAGTTCATTTTTGTTCATTATTAAGAGAAATTCTATAACTTAAAAGTGAGGGGATACAATAAAAACACTTGATTACGAATTCTTTACTTTTATTTTAAGATCTTAATGTAAAACTAACGAGAATTGGGTTTGTTGGTTTTAATACAACTTCATATTTCCAGTTCAAATTACTGATATCTGCAGATAATTGGAAATTTCGTACGATATGCGCAACCGACGTCTTTAGGGTCATCATGGCGTACTGTTTCCCTGTAAATATAAGAGAGAAAATAAATATATGTTATGCAAATGTTATTTATAATAAGCTAGGGACACCCCTAAAATTTGCAACGCCCGAAAAAGGCCGTTAAACTGTGCCTGTTATTTCATAAGACCTGTATGTATTACCTTAACATGCAAATAAATACTTTGAGTTTAAGTTTGAGTTTGAGATATGTAAATGAATACTAAAACCATACAAAACTACAATCTTCAGTTATGTGTACGTACCAATACAGTTTCGCTTGCCAATTCCGAACGGTGCGTATACGTTGGGGTTAGTAGGTAAAGTTTCGGGATTCAGCCATCGCTCCGGTTTGAACTGCTTCGCATCTGGTCCCCAAGAGGGGTGACGGTGAAGACTATATAATACCAGAATACATGTACTTCCAGCTCTTAACGTATATTTAGCTGAAATTATAAATTTACTATGAATGACTCCATCTTGATTTTACAACAGATTGGAAATAATTGGTAATATGAGGAGCAGATAAGATACATACGGAAAACAACATCAGTATCGAGTTGTCTCGCAACCCAAGGAGCAATGGAATATATCCTCAAGACCTCTTTTATCACAGCTTCTAAGTAAACCAGTTTTGGTAAGTCGTATTTAGTCAATTCCTCATTATTTCCTAAAACTTCTTTAATCCTGTAATATGAAAACAATTCGTAAGTTCTACGTGTGTTATAGAATACTTGTACTAAAGTTTCTGTGCTTTGGAGAGGGCGGAATCATCCAATAACTTCTCCCAACCGGGTAAGGCAAGAGGGAGTGTTAGACTCTTATTAACTATCGGCTTCAGCCCTATTGGATCCCATCTGTGGTGACTGTTTCTGTGCTCAGTTTTTTTACATTTACCTTTATCTAAAATGAAATCTAATATTTCAGCCAGAATATTTCTTAATACATTTCCCACTTACTCTTGAAATACGATTCACAAAACATTTTTATTGCAAATCGGTCAACGTTTGGCCAAAAACTACTTACTCTTTATAAACTCGTTCCTGCACATCTGGATGTGATCCTAGCACTAGTAACGTGGTCTGTAATACTGCTGAAGTTGTGTCGTAAGAACCAAATACAAAAGTATCAATATGTTGTCTGATATCATCATCAGAGATAACTTGTTGTTCATCAGATAAATGTAGCATCAGATCTAGTATAGGTTTAAATTTACCTGGAAACCAGAAACTAATTACAGTTACCTAAGAAATCAAGAAAAATAATCGTTAGCATATATTTGTATGCTTTTACATTTGTAATCCATTGTCTCTATACTCACCATTCAGTGAACTATCATTGAAGTCTCTCATAGATTTTTTATTGGTAGTTTTTAAATCAGATTTACGTTTCTTGATTATCTGAAATGTATAAATTTTACTAAAATACATGAGGAACATGACGGAAGCCATTTTCTTCGGTGCTTCCTATGGATGACTTATTACGCAATCGCATAGTAATAATTCTTTCATGCTTACACTATTTAAAATGTTTTTTATCCTCGTGATCAGTTCCTGTTGTCTTTTTCTCATTTTAGTTATGTTGTAAATGAATGAAGGATGTAATGCCACGTTTAAACCTCGTTTTATTACTATTGCTATGGTTTCTTCGATTGCTTGCACGTATTCCTTATCAATCATGTGTTGATCATTAGCTTCCAATCCCAAAGATGTTCCTGGAATAAAAAATGGAATAATCAAAATTCCAGTTAACGTTAATTTAACAGCTCCTCTACGAACTTGTGTGATTATTATGTACTCGCCCTATATACTGAACAGGATGGGCGACAATGCTTAGCCTTGAGGAACTCCTCATATTTTGAAGTTTAGGCTTTCAGAATTGTTGAATTATGGTAATTACTGATTATTACTCACAATGTGTGTCATGTGTAAAATTTTTGCTGAAGACAGTTATGTTAATAACCACTTAAATAATTGTGCCTTAGTAACGAGTCAAGTTTGTATACTTACTGCAAACCGATCTTAGAACATATTTAATTATAAATTGTTTGACATCGACTGGTCCTTGTCCCGCTACAGATTTGAATTGTGAGACTAAACTTTGAGCTTCTACATTCATAACATTCACAAATGTGTTCAGTACTTTCTGGTTGAATGCTGGATTCAGTAACTTACGATGTATTTTCCACGTGGGCACTGAAATTAGTAGAAAAAATATCAAAAATGTTTTAAAGTGTGATGAATTAAAACAAAAACTCGTACTCGGCATTGCCGTACCGTCTGCTGTCAGAAGTCCATTTCCTAATAGGTCAACCAAGAACTTGTAAAAGAATGATTTCCTCAAACTTGTGTTTGCTATAACACTGACTTCATCTGGGTCGCTTACGACTGTAACAAAACAATCGATATTAAAATTAATTATGATTTTAAGACCTTCAATTTCAAATGTTAGTTTTAATTAAATTTTAGTACATGTATCGAGATTTGATGAATGCACATCTGTGCACTTGTAAGTCGAAGCAATTTGCAAGATAAATCCAGTTGCGCAGTATAATTGAAATTATATCTATACTAGGCTCTCGCTAGCTCACATTTCCGTGCGACAAAAAGTAGCCTTTGTGTTATTCTAGTCCATATAATGTACCCCTGTTCCAAATTGTATCTCGATCCGTTCAGCCGTTTTGACGTGAAGGACTAACAAACAAACAAACAAGCAAGCATACAAACTTTTTAATTTAAAATATTAGTAGGATATATTTCTTTTTATTTTTATAATTTCACTCTAGTGTTACTCTGTTATGGCATATTGCATACTATGATTTTTCTTACCATAAATGATATGGGGACCCATTTTTAACTGAACACACTCATCTGTTATATCATCAGCAACATGTTCCATGTAACTCCATATGTCTGAAATTAAGTCACGTAAGCAATTATTAAATTATATTTTAATATTACGCGAGGCACACTTTGCGCATTTCAATTTTACTGGGTGAAATTTTATGTGCAATAATTTCTTGGCTGCCTTGAACTGAATGTACCTATCGAAAGTAGGTAATTTTTAATATGCAATATATAATTATGATAATGCTATTTCTTTCTGAAACCTAGAAAATTTTAAAGCAGAAATTTTCGCGGTGTCTCTTTGCAAATTTTCGTTCTTCTCATAGGTATTACAGATCAAATTAACTTATCTATCTATCTTACCTCTATAATCATTTGTTTATATATAAACGTGTGACTAAAAAGCTATTTACCACACCATTTCATAAAATTGTTTTTAAGCTAGCTTGACACCTTATTGTCATCATTATAATATTAGCCATAGGAGCAGTTAAGCTACTTTCTCAATTAATTATCACTGGCAAGCTATCACCTAATTACCTAATTGCCTTAATTCACCTAATTGCCATATACTTCGCAGTTAGATGAATTGATTTTACTCATTACCCCGTTAAAAGATTCACATTTCTTATAACAACAACAGTAAATTTACCTAACTACAAAGTACCTATGTGGCACGTTACATGATGTTTGTCATATGTATATTGGAGGAGGGTGTTAAATTGCGGGTTTCGAGGGAATTACTGATGCAATATTTTAACATTAAAAATATGATTTAGGATCCTTTTCTCGGATTATGTCAGTACCTTTAAGCAATGCAGCACGATCTATGAGGTCTTTTGTAATGATGTAGCAACAGTGATTAGCAGGTATTTAATATTTTCAATCAAATTATGTATGTAAACTTAAAATGGTTTTTGGCTATTGGTTAAACTGGTTGGCTATTGGTAGACTGCACTGCACTGCGCGGTGGCTGGGCAACTGGCTGCCGCGCAACGCGTCGCGGGTTTGATTCCCGCACGGAACAACTCTTTGTGTGATCCACAGATTGTTGTTCCGGGTCTGGGTGTCATGTGTATCTGATATTGTATGTTTGTAAACGCACCCACGACACAGGAGAAAATCCTAGTATGGGGCAACGTTTTTTAACAAAAAAAAGCCCATAAAATAAAATGTAATAAAAAGCTTCGCGCTGTTGACTCTAACTGAAACAGCGGTTCGTGTATGTGAATCACTGGGTAACTAACTCGCTCGAGTAGTCCTTGTATGGCAGGCCTAAGTCATCCACAGCTGAACGTTGGTCTTTAAAGATTTTCAGATCGGCCAGGTGGAAGTAAATCATCCTGGTCTTGGTGGTCGACCTTATGATAAGTGAATCGTGAGTACTCTCCAATTTTGAGATAGGTAAAATATATTTCTTTGTAAATTTCAATGGAAAATCCAATGCTTAAAATCGAATTTTTCAAAAATGACCATTACAGGAAAATATAATTATTACCATTGCGATATTTTACAGCCTCAAATATGTGTCCAATGATGGGCAACGCACCAGGATACGTGCGAGGTGATCGAGGACGAGGTCTCCACCAGTACCACCATATTGCAAACACTACACTAAATATCATCGTTAGCACCAACACAGGCATTGTGGAACACAACCATTACGAACTGCGCTGAAATTAATAGACATCTCATATTTATATTATTAGTAGGCTGAATGACTAGTTTTCTCAAAAGCAATTTTAGATTAAACAAAAAAATGCATTTTCAGGGTTCTGCACCTAAAAAGGATGGAACGAAATCCATGGAGAATTTGTTGCCTGCTGAAAAAAATGTCCAAGACAAAATGTTCTAAATACTTAAATGATATAGTTATTTACGTTATTATTCAACATTTACGATGATCAAATCCCAAATAATTCAAATACGCGGCAAAGCATGTTTGTGCTGCATGAGCGTTTATCTGCATTTATCTGCATACTACATGCTGCAAAATTAATTTATTTGGCGGAATAAAACTAGAATATTTTCCCAGTTGTAAGTGAAGCATGGATTTCTGCAACGTAACGCCTGATTCTATTTTATATATGGAGAAGGTTTGAAGATGAATCATCACGCAAGGTAGGTAGATCTTAAGATGCTCAAGGTAAATTAACGATTCAAAACTAATTGCATAACATAACATTACGCCTTTTATCCCCGTAGAGGTGTACATTATGCCACTGTACAATGTAACACCCACTTTTCACTATTTATGTTATGAGTCCCATGTAATAGGGGGTGAGCCTATTGCCATATACCAGGCACAATTCCAGACTCCGTGTTACTACTGAGAATTTTTAAAATACCCAGTTATACTTTGCCCGACCCGGGAATCGAACCCGAGACCCGTTGCCCAGCAGTCGGACTTGCGACCACTCAGCCAACGAGGCAGTAGTTTAATATTTAAAAGTAATTATTAAAATATATTCTTCAATACTATCGATTATTTACTTTTGAATTTCGTATGGTAATAAAACAAACACATGCTCAGTAAAAATAGCCTTTTATTAATTTAAGATCTTAACGTCAAAGTAATAAGAGGAGTTTTTGCTTTTAGTACGACTTCAAAATTCCACTTCAATGTACTGATATCACCAGAAATGTGGAACTTTCGTACGATATGGATAAGCGACGTCTTCATGGACATCATGGCGTACTGCCTCCCTGTAAACAAAAGTCAAAAGTATTACGGCACTTAATGCCACTGTACTATGTAACACCCACTTTACACTATTTATGTTACGAGTCCCATGTAATAGGGGGTGAGCCTATTGCCATATACCGGGCACAATTCCAGACTCCGTCCTACTACTGAGATTTTTTTTAAAACCCAATAATACTTTGCCCGAACCGGGAATCAAACTCGAGACCCAATCCTCGGCAGTCGCACTTGCGACTACTTGGCCAATGAGGCAATCCTAACTAACTAATAATAATAAAATAAAATAAAAAATATATAAAAAAGTGATTCTAAGGTACAATTGGACAATAGACATACCAATACAAATTCGCTTGCCAATACCAAACGGAGCGTATAAGTTAGGGTTAGTAGGTAATGTGTCGGGATTCAACCATCGCTCCGGTTTGAACTCCCTCGCGTCTGGTCCCCACGAGGAGTGACGGTGAAGGCCGTATATCGACAGGATACAGGAGCTTCCAGCTCGTAGAGTATATTTTGCTGAAATTACATAATAACAATAACATTACATTACACTTCTGTAAGCAATCGACTACGAAACGAAATACAGATGGCGCGCTTTGATTTGTCCGGTGTGACGTAACTGCTAAGCAAGTGGAGAAGAGACCTGTTGACATTCAACATTATGTTTTATAATAACTACTATCCTGAGACATACTAAACCAACTAATAATTACGAATTACTCGCGTAAATTTACTGAAAAAAGCTCGCCCCCTGGACACTGCAGTCCCCGTCGTGACGTCTCTTACGCACATGATGGCGTCCAACGTGGAACGCCCTCTGTGGAAGCCGAACTGACAGTCCGACAGGTCCGGCCCAACATCCGACAGGTGCGCGACGAGGCGGTTCGAAATAATTCTTTCGAAAACTTTTCCCACCTCGTCGAGCAACACGATGGGCCAGTACGCGGACGGAGAGACGGCAGGACGTCCCGGCTTCTTTACGAGGACCAGTTTACCCACCTTCCACAATAACGGGAACTGGCCCCTCTCCAAGCATGCGCTGTAGAGACCAATTAATCGAAGCTCGAGAGCCTCCAAGGCCTGGACCCACGCCTTGCCGTGCAGTCCGTCGGGTCCCAGGAGGTGTTCTTGGCGCCCATCCGGCGCACCGCCGCTCTCAACTCGGCCTCGACCACACGTCTTCGCTGTGTCCCAAATAGGGTACCGCAGGGGGCGGAGTCATGGACGGAAGGGTGAAAGCCCTCTGTAGTCGGGGGAACAAGGCGTCGACAACCTCCTCCACTACCTCTAGCCGGAGACTTTGAGTCAGTGGAGGAGCCCTGTGCGGAGCTTATCCCGCACCATCCGATAGGAGTGTCCCCACAGGTCTTTGTTAAGAGTCTCCAAGAACTCTTGGCAGGCATTTTCCTTCGCCCGCCAAGACTCATGGTGAGCTATGATACGGCCTACGGCGGGTCTTAAAGACATTCAGATTATACTACTAAAATATTTAATCTGAACGAATTTTATGACAAAACGATACATTCACCATAAATCTTTAGTGTGGCCAATTGGCCATGCTTCGGCACGATTGGGCTGGCTCGACCGGAGTGATACCACGGCCTCACAGAAAACCGACGTGAAGCAACTCTTGCGTTGTGTTTCGTCGTGTGAGTGAGGTTACCGGAGGCCCAATTACCCTCCCCTTCCCCAATCTCCCCAATCCCTGAATCCCCAACGATCATCAAACTCCTAATCCCCAAAAAGCCGGTAACGCACTTGTAACGCCTCTGGTGTTCCAGGTGTCCATGGGCGACACCGATTGCTTACCATAAGGTGATCCGTCTGCTCGTTTGCTGGCTTATGCCATAAAAAAATGGGTGATGCTTTTGTCTAGTGGTGTGATCATGGAAAGGACTAAGGGGAATCACGCTCTCATCCAAAATACTAAATAATGATCTGAATGAGGTTTTAAAACAATAAAAAAAATAGGTGGTAGTGATAATACTTACGGAGTACAATATCAGTGTCAAGTTTTCGCGCTACCAAAGGAATTATATTATATACCCTCAATACCTCTTTTATCACTGCTTCCAAGTAAACGAGTTTAGTCAGGTCATGTTTAGTCAGCTCTTCTATATTGTCAAAAACATTTTGGATCCTGTAACATTTAAAAAAATTAAAGATTAAAATGTAGGGTGATCCTGTGACAGTCATATCTGTAATCCAACTGGATACTTATTTTTAATGATAATAATTGACTACAAAATCTTTTTTTTTTCTTTATAAACTCTTTGAAATATTTATCATTGAATTTACTGCACGGTCAATCGGCTCTTTGATCTACCAATTGTTGTTTCGGGTCTGGGTGTCATGAGTATGTGGCATTGTATGTTTGTTAATGCACTCACCACACATGGCAAAAAAATAATGATTAGAATTGAGTAATTTTCCTAAAAATTATCAGCGATACTTACTCATTAAAAACTCGTTCCTGTACATCAGGATATGATCCAAGCGCTAACAACACAGTCTGAAGAGCTGACGAAGTTGTATCGAATGAAGCTGCTACGAAAGTATTTAGATGCGCCCTGATTTCATCATCGGAGAGGACATATTGTTCATCAGATAAATGCAGCAACAGATCTAGTATAGGTTTGAATTTACCTGGAGGCAAAAGTTTTTATTTCATTTATAATTTATTATCTTTCATAATATCACTCACGCCTTTTATCCCCAAAGGGGAAGGCAGAGGTGCACATAACGGTACTTAATGCCACTATACAATGTAACACCCACTTTTCACTATTTATGTTATGAGTCCCATGTAACAGGGGGTGAGCCTATTGCCATGTACCAGGCCATTTCCAGGATCCGTGTCCGTGCTTTTTTACCTTTCTCAAAAATAAATTCGTGCTTGTAAAGTGTGGAATAATTTATGCTTGGGCAAGACTTGGGCCTACTTGACTGGCGTGAAACAACGCTTGCGTTGTGTTTCGTTGTATGAGTATGAACTTGTTAGGTTTTGAATTATTGAGTTTGTATGAAAATAGATTGGTTATTCTTATTTAATATTTTCTTACCTGGTACAAAATCGTCTTTATTATTGACTGTATCTTTAGTTACTTCTAAGTCAGATTTTCTTTTCTGAATTATCTGAAATATAAGAAAAAAATATTAGTACGTGACAAGCGTCCTGGTAACCGGGAAATTAACAATATTTCAAGCAGTTCATGAAATGCTGAACCAAGCTTTACTTCGAAATCTGCTGGAAAGCACACAACATCATTTAAGTAACAAGTTGCGGACAACTGGTTGCCTATTTATATAAAGTATTTTTTTTAGTAATATTTAATAATATTATAGAGGTAGTATTTCGTCCACGTAGGACATACATTTTAGAACATAACTTTATTTGTTTTTATTTTCCAAAATACAGTAGCCTATGTTACTCCTTAGTACATCATCTAACTGATAATAAAAGCTTACAAAATCGGTTCAGCCATTCCAGAAATTAGCCAGTACAAAGAGACAGACAAACATTGTAAATATTTTACATTTTGGGATGTGTAGGTACCTATCGTGTGTATCTTCATATTATTATATATGTAGAAAAAAACGGTTGTTTTAGTACACTGCCACTCCCTCACGGCCAATTAGACCAGTATTTGCTGGTCTGTAGTACAGTTTCAGACTTACTTCGGAATAATAATTATCTATAATAAGTATCTTAGTATGCTTTTAAATATTCTTTTAACTGCCATTTTCGTAAAAAAGTTATTTATTAATACTAATACTTCCATATTTGCACGCCATTACATTTATAGATATTATGAGATTATTAATATATACAACTTAAAATATAAATAATTTTAAACTAAAATATTTACACCTTAAAAAAAATAATAATAAAAATATATCATAAGGCATTAAAGAAAACATTTTCCTCATCGCTACCGTGAGGTAGGGTGTCCAAAAGACTGGCAGCATTGCCACGTTGAATGGCAATACTTAACCTTTGCCCAAGGTAGTAGCCAGCCCTTCGATCACCCGAAGTGTCAACCATCCTCCTTACAATATCTTTGTGAAGAAGATGTGCACTTGGGCCCCACTATACTTTACAGGGCCTACTATACTTTCGCCGTTTGAAGTTCTCGGCAGCCGCAGCAGCAGCACCGGCTTGATACACTGAGCTTGGAAGATGGGATGGCGCCAGAGTATCAACGCAAGTGGCGGCCCTTACTAAAGTCCTACCCATCTTCCAAGATAATGTTGATAGATTATATAATAAACCCACTAGTAGTTTTCGTAAAACAAGCCATCTTTGTACCCTGTTCCTCAACTGTTTTTTTTTTCGGTCACTTTTAGAGCAAATCTAACAAGTGTTGATTAATTCTATTGAGCATGCTTACATGATCTAACAGTTCCCTGTTGTCTCTAATTAGTTCCACTTGCCTTCTCTTCATTGCGGTTCTATTGAATAAAAATGAAAGATGTAACATTGGTCTTAAAGCACGATGAATTATAATGTTTCCTATTTCTTCAACCGCTTCACCAAAGTCATTGTCAATCATATCCTGATCTTTAGCTTCCAACCGCAGTGACGTACCTAAGAATAGAAGTCGGATTGTTAATGCAATATTTGGTAATTACCTGGTTGACTAAATGACGTCATCATCAACATCATCATCATCATTATCATAAACAGCCCATAAAAGACCACTGCTGACCATAAGCCTCTTCTCGTACGGAGAAGGTTTGAGCATTAATCACCACGCTTGCTCTTATTAATATAATTAGAAATTATAAGCCCAGGTTGCCTCACGATGTTTTCCTTCGCTGTTTGTCAGTAGTGTCTAGATAATCTTAGTATATATAACTCAGAAAAAAGTTACATTGGTACTAGCCGTTGGTAGGTTTCGAACCCACACTCTTATGCATGAGAAGCGGGTGTTTTAGACCTCCGTGCTACCACAACATAACTACGCCACGCCACTATGTGACGTATGGAGTCGCAAAGCTGGATTATTGATAGGATTTGTATTAACTTTTGGCTGGTTATTCAAATTGTTATAAAAGTATTACATAAGATAATTCGATTAAATCTCTATATATGTGTTTCAACTTACGGGAAACTGTTCTTAGGATATGTTTAAATAAGAAGTCAGTGATATCCACTGGTCCTTTTTCCGCCACTGTTGTCAATTGCGACACTAGATTTTGACCCTGTACGTCCATTTCATTCAAATACGTATTCAGAACTTTCTGACTGAACGCTGGGTTTAATAATTTATGATGTATCTTCCACATGTCCCCTGAAATAATATAGGTAATTTAAGCGATGTTTACCGAACAAAAATCCATTACCATTACTTGTATACATTTTCAAAAAACCTCTTGCCTGCCTTAATATGAAATAAGGTTACCAGAGTCGAATAGTAGTAAGTACGACTGCCGAGCAAAAGGTCTCGGATTCGATCCCCAAGTCGGGTAAACTTTTTTTGGTTAACGGTGGTTAACGGTTTATGTTTCCTCTATTACACGGGACTCATAACATAACTGAAGGAAAGTATACAGTAAGTAGGCATTAGCCTAAATACTCAAACGCTACTCAATTTAAGGCGTTCCACATTTTTGCGCGCGCCTCAAAGAGCCATCAGACCACCACAGATGGGGCCCAATAGGGCTGATGCCGATACGGAGCCGCGGAGAACCTAATGGGTTACCGGGGCTCCGGCTCGAAGACCATGAGTAGGAACGGGAAGGTTTGTAGTCAGTAAGAGTCTGATCCCTTCCGCCTCACCCAGGCAGGAGAAGTCACTCGATGATTTTCCCCCCTTAAAAATAACCTCTTCTTACCCTTGGGATAAAATGCGTCACAATACAAAACAATAGATTTCTAAAAATATAATATAAATAAATAAATAATTATCTGTACCATTTAACGTTACCAATCCATTTCCTATTCCATCGCTCATAAACTTGTAATAATATGGTTTGTCCAAACACGTGTTTGCTATCATGCCAGCGACTTCTGGGTCGTTCACAGCTAAAATGAAAAAAAATATTTACTCTCGTGTCAGATCATGAACCCTAAATGTTTGGACTGATTTTCTTGCGCTGTGTTTCTTCATATGACGGACGGACGTACCGGATCCCCAACAATCCTCAAGTTCCTAATCCCCAAAAGGCCGGGAACGCATTTGTAACACCTCTGGTGCTTTTGAGTGTCCATGGGCGGCGCTGATTGCTTACATCGGGTGAAGGGGTGAAGGGTCCGTCTTCTCGTTTATGGGTTTATTTCATAAAAAATGAATATTGTCATCAAATAATTAATGACACTGTGACACTTGAAGGCGCAAAGGAGGATCATCTAAAAAAATAACTTGGAAACCATAGCAACATAGACAAAAATCCGAATATAGGATAGCATTTTTAAAAATATAATATTGTTATCTGATCAAAGGCATAATATGTACTAATATAGATACATTCTACTTAATTGCCCTTTAGTCGATACTTGGTACTGGTCTTTTAAACATCTCTCGGTGACTTGGTACGTTTTAAAGTACGCACCAGGTAATAAATAATGCACATTGCATCTTATAATACATAAACCTAAATACAACCACTTAATTGTGAATTTTGCCCAACGCTCACTCATTATCTACTTATAATTAATAATCATGCTTGGTATGCAAATCCAGTAATGGTTAGGTTTATTCATAGCTTCTTATTCATAGCTTTTTTATTCATTCTTACGACTGTATGTGGATTTATTTTTAATTTTTCTATCCTAGTAGTGTAGTTGTGTTTGTTAATTTTTGATCATTTGTCTGTGTTTAGGAAATGCTCACAATCATCATCATTCATTCATCAACAGCCTGTAAATGCCCACTGCTGAGCAAAGACTCTTCTCACACGGAGGAGGTTTGAGCATCAATCACCACGCTTGCTCATTGCGGGTTGGCGATTTCAAACTTATAATTAGAAATTATAAGTCAAAGTTTCTTCACGATGTTTTCCTTCAGTGATGTCTAAATAATTTTACAAAGCTGCTCTTAGATGCTCACAATACATGGAGTAAATCCAAATGTGGCGTAAAAGGTATAAAAAAAAACTGCTCGTTGGTCAAAAGAGACAGACCTCTGAGTTTGTTTCGGCATTTCTTCTCAGAGTAGTCAGTTAGGAAATGTCGACCTCATCGTTCGCTTGATAAAATTGACGTGTAAAAGTGCTGCCTTGTAGCCTATTTACAGAAGTAAATTGACTTGTTTCACTAGTCAAATTACTGAGAAAAGACTGATGTAACATTAGTGCTACGTTACTAAATAGCGTGTCATGGACCACCAGGAATAACTCTTTGAATGTTTCGTTACCGAGATAATTACTTACCATAAACTATGTGAGGACCCGCCCGAAATTGAATTATTCCTCCATGTTCCAATACGTATTCGCCGATACTTTTCAAATAACTCCACATATCTGAAAATGAAAAGAAAATATAGGTTAGATTATAATTTCTTTATCTTATTTTTTTACTGGGACTAGCCCGTCACACCCTCCTAAAGTCGCTGCAACTCCTGTAAACCACGATCTACAGTAGATACAACCATGAAAATACCGGAACAATGAATTCTGGTGCGTCCCTTTATTTTAAATATTAAACACCTTGGTGTTTGGTATTATTAGTCGTTTTCCTAAAACGACTGAAAATGCATTGTTAACATGACTTTTTATTTAATTACATAACAATACTAACTGCCTGACTGCCTCGTTGGCCGAGTGGTCGCAAGTGCCGGGCAATGGGTCTCGGGTTCAATTCCCGGGTCGAGCAAATGTATTTGGGTTTTAAAAAATATCTCAGTAGTAGCACGGAGTCTGGTAATGCGCAACAATACTTTGCCCGACCCGAAAATTGAACCCGAGACCCTTTTCCCAGTAGTCGCACTTGCGACCACTCAGCCTACGAGGCAGTCATTATTCAAACACCTATTTAATTTAAACAATAATAATTTATAAATTGCAGTTTAGCCGGGATAATAAATAAGCTTTAAGTTACCATTGCGGTATTTAAGAAATATATGACCGTGTCCAATGAACGGTAACTGGCCAGGAAATATTGGAGGTGAACGAGGCTTCCACCAGCAATATACATGGTACACAACGCCAAGTAGCACGAGTAACACCAACGCATACATTATGCAACCACACCACACCACCACAATAATGAACTGAAGCTGGGCTAATACGCAGCTCATATTTATAATATTCTTTATATTTGAAGTACCTACAAACTTCTTTAGCGGCGTTGTGCACTTTTTGTAATCCTTACTATATAATATTATAAATCTGAAAGTGAGTTTGTTTGTTTGTTTGTTTGTTGCACTTTAACGCCGTAACTACTAAACCAATTGCTTTGAATTTTTGCAGATGTATAGTTAGAAGTCCGGATTAAATAATAGGGTACTTTTTATCCCGGAAAAATTTGATATTCTCGAGGGAAAACAAAAGTATTGGTATAGATGGCGCTGTGTGTATTGGTATATGTCACATTGGCTTTTAATCCTTTTGTGACGCGCGCAAAGCCGCGGGTAAAAGCTTGTGGTTAATAAATGTGAAACTCGCGTCAGGACACGTGACCTGGAGCCAATTCTCGGCTTTAGAGATGGTGTCGAAGTCCACAAAATTTTGTAATGACGTCATATGTTCGTCAAATTTTAAAGGTTGCTATTCTGGGGATGTCGAAATCGACATTTGTCGAAGGCTAACTTTAGTTCATGTCGAGTGCTTCTGAGCAGTATAGACGTCATTGCTAAATGAATTCGTTGGTTTTGGGATTGTACAGTGTTTTGTTTTTTTTGTTTTGAAATAAAATACGGCTTAGCATCCCATACCTACCTACTAAAAATTCGGTATAGACTCTTCGATACAATGAAGCATTTAAGAAAACGCGATTCACTATCGAGCGCTGTAATGGAGTGCTAAAGGGACGATTTAGGTGTCTTTTAAAGGACAGGGTGTTACATTACACACCTAATAAGGCTGCAAAAATAATGAACGTTTGCTGTCTGTTACACTATATGTGTATAGCCCACAACTTTGAATTTTCTGATATGCCTGAAGAGAGAGAATTAGGCATAATTATGATACACTCTCCAGCCACAACAGGAGGCAATATTAATTTAAATATAGGCAGAAATAAACAACAAAATATCATTAATAATTATCTACTTAAGTTTTAATAAAGTGTCACAAAATGTGTTTTACTTGTTAGGTGAGTACCTTAATTTTATAAGTAAATACATTACTAAATTAAAAAAACATGGTAAACATTTAATAAGTATATAGTTATTACACTTTGTAAAAGAATGTAACGAAAACAGCTACTCGTTAAAGTATCAAAGTCTGTCAATTTTCTTAACCTCAATGACACACTTTTTCATTATAAACTCAGACTAATTACACAATCACAGTACAGTCGTTTAAACAATAATAATATTAGAAAATTAACAAATAAACTTTACATCTACAGCGTAACAATAATAAGGTAGTTTTCAGGGTAAGAAAATTAATAAATCTAATTAGTACGTCAGTTAGATAATGAAAAAATGTTAGACACGTATTTTTTTATTTTCTCGTATAAAATTACAATACTTAAATAAAATTTCGTTAAGTTTAGGAGTGGGCGGTAGTTACGTCACAACGTAGTACATTTTGTAGCACGCTGTGACGTCACGCCACATTTCAAATCAATATATTGTCAAAAGCATTTAAGCTCGTCGTTTAAACAATAATATCTTAGAAATAAACAAAAAACAATCATTACTGCATAAATATGTAAATAATTAACAATCATTTGTGTACAAGTATTTTGGTTGCTATTTTCCATGGATAATCCTGTATTTATTGTAAATACAATAAATAAAAAAAAGTACATAATCACATCTATGTGTCTCTCTCTTTCTTCTTCACGGCGAAAATGTATGCCTGCGCCGGATGCTTCGTTTAGGCGGCGCAGGGCGCTTGCGAGAATGTTCGCGTGTGTTTATATGTGTTAAATTGAATTTTTAAATAATGAATTTGGTTTAACCATGTCAAGTGATCGCCATCTTAGCACAACGAAATACAAAACTGCTATTGATGTGATCTTTACCTATTAGATATTTAAATAGGTTCGAATCAAAACTGTTTGTTTCATAATTCAGCTATCATAAACCGATCGTATCAGTTTTAGTGATTGGCGCTAATCAAATGGTTTTGGTAATAATGATAGTGAAAAGTCGTCGAAATTATGGATGGAAGTAGGTATGGAAGATTTTTCTGAGGGAAAACCTTTTAAATGTAATATAAATTGTTATGTTTGTGTACGATAGCGTAATAAATAAATATTTTATACTAATACATAAAAGGTAGTACTTTTATTTTGATATTTAAACAATTCGTGCAATATTATTCCATAACCATTCCAAAACATTCAAAACGCACAACGTTAACACTTAAGTTTTCACTTCTGCCGGCACTCCCGGAGTGCAATCCGTCGTTTTTTTATACGTTACCCTCTTTAAGAGGGGAAAATCATCGAATGACTGCTCCCGCCTGGGTGAGGCGGGAGGGGGAGTGTCAGACTCTTACTGACTAAAAACCTCCCCATTCCTACTCATGCCCTTCGAGCCGGAGCCCCGGTAACCCGTTAGGTTCTCCGCGGCTGCGTATTGTATACGTTACCCTACACTAGGATTTTCGCCTGTGTCGTAAATATGTTGCATCTTGGATTTAAATCGCATTTAAAAAAACAGTCTATATGTCTAATTTTGTGTCAATGTGTGTGTACATTTGAGAACGCATACACGACACAGATAAAAATACTAGTGTGGGCCAACATAAAAAAATATAAACGTATAAAATTAGAATTTCATATTTTTTGTTTAATTTTTTGTAAATTTTACAATAATCCCATTTGAGATCGGTTATTGGTCGTTAGCCATTTCCATAGTTGATTCTAGAATTTTACTCTTATGAAAACTTTACGAAACATTTTATAATAAAACAATAAAAAGATAAAAATGTAGATAAAATCTTTATATAGATAATTTAACTATAACTAACTTGTTAGTCTGGTCTATAATTATTTGTCATTTTCTAGAAATTTTTCCTTATTAATATTTGAGTTATCTAAAATTTACAAACCACTTTTTTATGGAATAGGAGGCAAATGAGCAAACGGATCAAAGACAAAGTTTTGCACTTGTGGAAAGTCAAAAATTGAAATGTCCGTCTGTCAGTCTGTCAGTGAAGCTAGGCGCTCGTTCCAAAGTCCCCTGATGGTAAGCGATCAGCGTCGCCCGCAACACCAAAGGAGTCACACGTGCGTTGGCGTAAAAATGCCTTTATTCTTAGTATGTTTAAACTTAATCATCCAATGACTTTACCCGCCCGGGTGAGGCGAGAGGCAATGTCAGACTCTTACTACTAAAATTCACCCCGGTCCTACTCCTGCACTTCGAGTCGGAGCCTCGGAAACCCGTTAACGATGGCAAATGGCATGGCCTACAATGAGACCCGTGCTCAAAACTGTCGAATATCTATGAGATCAACTTCAAAGAAGCCTAAAAAATACTCAGAGTCAAATAAACAATCGACAGGAATTATAATAGGCCCGTTTAAGTCAGATGGGAACAGAATGGTCACCCATATTGAAACTGTAACATATACACTACGGAAGAGTAGAGAAGGTTCCAACAACTTCTAAGCATTGCAATATTTATCGGTGACGCCGATATCTCGCGTCCAGCTCTTATTCAGACTATGGAATGGAACGAGGGGGGCTAGGATGCTATCTCTTCCTTCTGCTGCTGTGTTCTTTCTTCTTTCTTCTGCTGAAGTAGTCATGCTAGCTAAGGAGAAGGCGGGGCGCGTGAAGGAACGAACCTCCTAACGCCCCAGTCAGCGCTAAAAACACTCTCGGCGTGGGGGATCGCAAGATGATCTGCGGACGCCGTAAGCACGAGCCTGCGGACGCCGCCCGACCAGAACTAGACCCGAGTGTACGACCTTAAAGAGCCATCAGACCACCACAGATGTGACCCAATAGGGCTGACGCCTTTTATCCCCGAAGAGGTAGGCAGAGGTGCACACAGAAGTAACACCTACTTTCCACTATGTATGTTATAAGTCCCATGTAATATGTGAGTCTATTGCCATATACCGGGCCCATTTCCAGACTCCGTGCTGCTACTGAGATTTTTTTTAAATCCAGTAATACTTTGCCCGACCCGAGAATCGAACCCGAGACCCCTTGCCCGGAACACTTGCAACCACTCGGCCAACGAGGCAGTCAATGTATAAAAAAGAAATGATACCTAATTGTAGTTTTAAGAAAATATAAACCGACTTGAAACTGTGTATATAATTATTCTCATGCACATAAATTACGTAACCGTATTCAATATTAATAGGCTTGTTAATTTTGTATCTCTATTTTTGGTTTATAAAAACATGACGTATATTTTTGTAATTAATTTTGTATCTCTATTTTTGGTTTATAAAAACATGACGTACATTTTTGTAAAGACTAAAATAAAATAAAAATTCACATACCTAAACAAAAAAACATGACGTATATTTTTGTAAAGACTATTATTAAATAAAAATTCACATAAATATGCAATTAGGATATATTGTGTTTTATTTTAGCTCATTGTTAATAGGCATGATGAAAATAGTCTATTTTTTAAGAGGGCAAAATCATCGAATGACTTCTCCCGCCTGGGTGAGGCGAGAGGGAGTGTCAGACTCTTACTGACTAAAAACTACCCCGTTCCTAAGTACAGGAGTACTTCGAGCTGGAGCCCCGGTATCGGCATCAGCCCTATTAGGCTCCATCCGTGGAGGTCTGATGGATCTTTGAGTGCGCACGGAACGCGACGCGCTATACGCTCGGGATCATCTCTTAGACAGAGGTCTTCCTCTGGTATTCATTAAATTAATTTTAAGAAATTGTCCTGTTCATATTCTAGCTTTTTATAATTTTAATTTAATTGTTATTACTAAGTTGTTCATGGTGAATATTTAGCTCTATAATGCTCACTTTTGATTGCTATAAAAGCGAGGACACACTATTCACTAAAGCCAAATTAACTAATCAAAAAAATAGTGTCTTCTGCACTTAAAATATTATTACGTCAGTCGACTCGAAATTCTGTCACGTTTTTGCTGCTGATTATAAATATTTTATTTATCTATTTATAGCTAAAACTGTTCCTCGCGACTTCGTCGGCGTATAATAATGACTTCTGGCAAATTTTGGATTTTTTAATTAGTCTTCTCCAAGGTTAATTGCAATGCCGTGTAACAAATTTCATTAGAATTAATTTAGTTATATTAATTGTGAAATGTTGTTTATTTTCATGATATCAAAAAATAAACAATCCTACAGGGATTCTAATCGTATAGTATCCATTCCCGCGAGGTTTCAGTGATTAAAATTCCATTTGAATTCCAATCAAATAAGTACAGCGTTTGAAAACTTTAAGGCGTCATTTTCCGAATCTCGAACTATCGTTTTACCGAATTGCACTCAAATAGGTTTAGCGGTTTAAGCAATAGAGGGTACCGTAATTTTAACGCATAGTTCCTGTCCCGGGAGATTTCCTTTCCAGTGCCAGTGTCTCAAACTCTTGTTGGACCGAATTTCAATCAAATAGGTTCAATGGGTAATACAATTAGTATTCAGCCTCTTTGCATGCCTTGTTCGATCATGATGATAAAAACATTGTTTGTCAATAATCCATTGGCATGAAACTCACTTGTCAAAAATACGTCAGATAGCATAAAAAGGTATACTCAATATTATATTATATTTGTTAACGTATGTTTGTTTTGTTAGAAATTGACCTGATTTTTTTACTGAGTTGAGATAGTAGAAAGGATTGAAAGTAGCATACCTAGGCGACATTTTATTTCTTTCTAACCCACCACTTCCCTAAAATAGGGGTTGCAAGTTTGTATGGAGCATTTCGTAATTTTCAAGAAACCTGAAATTAATATATGACCAGGAAAACATCGGATACTAATTCTTTTTTATATTTTGTCAGCCTGCCGTCAATACTTTAAATAAGCGCGAGCGAAACCGTGAGCAGAAGCTAGTCCATGAATCAAATGTATTCAGTTAATTGAATTCGTATTTTTTCTTTAAAATTTCTGATTATGATGCAGCTAACTACTATTATTGGTTCTTGAAAACAGTTTTCTATTGGCAGTAAAACGCTTAAGCAATATAAGGAGTATTTTGGTAGATTTTTCACACATCGGGTTACATTATCGAAATTATTACACATTTCTTTTTTTTCCATGAAATATAGCTTATGTTCAGCATAGATAATGTAGGGTTCGAACGGTAAAAGATTTTTTTTAATTGGCCTGGTAGCTTCGGAGGAGATGCCATTGAAACAAACGAACAAAAAATCTAATCTTTCCCCTTTATACTATTAGTGTAGACAGCCTATGTTCAACATTAATAATGTAGGATTCGAATTCTAAAAGAATTTTCAAATCAGCCCGGTAGTTTCAGAGGAGATGCCATTCAAACGAATTTCTAAAAGTAAAAACGAATTTCCGTTTGTTACTCTCGCTAAAAGCAAACTACTAGATCTTAATCATGCAAATTTAAAACATATTGACTGCACGGTTGGCGTGGTGGCTGGGCAACTGGCTGCCCAGCCCTGCTGTAATTCTGAATGTAATTTTATCTAAATTCAAGGTAAGTAGACCGAAGAGATTTGTAAAACAGTTCATGCTTTTAAGGACGATCTCAATGTAATAATAAGTGTCTGATTAAGTTTTACCTTATGGTAAAACCATACCAAATGGTATGGTACCATTGCCTATGCAATGGCACATTTTTATCAGTGTCAATAATAATTTTGGAGTGAACTAATGTCAATTCAATGGTAGCGGGGCACCGGCTCGACGTGCAGGAAAAGGAACGGGGTCGTTTTTAGTCAGTAAGAGTCTGACACTCCCTCCTGCCTCACCCAGGTGGGAGCAGTCATGCAATGATTTTCCCCCTTAAAAAAATGGTAGCTCAAACCCCGAACAGTCGTGCAACTGAGACTGTAATCTCAGTGAAAATATGGTGTGTCAGCGTCATTGCAATATGATTGACACGTGGGCTGGGGTCGTTTTATAAAGATATCAGCCCGTTGGCAACTTCAGTATCGATAATGTTATTTGAATTAAATGTAGTACAACATTTACAGTTATATCGATACTGAACGTAATAAAGGATGCTGTTCATGATGCAATTATATGTTACAAAAAATAAAACAATGCGTTTTTTGGGGTATGGCTCATTTAATATTATGTTGAAAATACTTAAAACATATTACTTCTAAATAAACTTCTGAATAAGTACTATTGAACTAATGCTATTATACTTACATATGGTTTAAAAACTAAATAAAAGTACCATCTATAATTTGAACACAGGTGATGATGAACACAGATGATACAGTTTTATTTATATACTATAGTAGGGGAGGAGTCACAATTATGTCATTAATGCGAACGGAAACATCTCATTGACAAATGTTATTATTCAACAACAGACTTTGTAATTGATAAATTTTAACATTATGTATTTCATGACATTATTTTAACATTATGTATTTCTTGACATTATTTTAACATTATGTATTTTTTGACATTGTTATATTGAATTTGTAAATTTTAATTAGTGCTTAATATTATATTGAATCTGACAGCTTTTTTTACCATATTTTGCATGCCAATAAACGAGCAAAATGTATACGGCCACTATATTATAAATTTATCATAACCTATTTGTAAACACCTACATTTAATGCAAATAAATGAATTGATTTTTTTTTATTTTGAATAAAGATTATGCATAAATAGATATTACTATTATTATAGACTGGCACTAGGCACCAAATATGTATAATGAAAATATTTATTTTCTCGTACGCTAGCGGATTAAAAATCATCAAGGTATACTAAAATTAGGTGAATATTGAGTCCAACGATCTCGGAAACGGCTCCATTGAACATTATACGATACTCCGTTGTTGTATCTTCACGATCTTAGTTTCAATCCAATCTGATGACCTGATATGGGTTTCAACATTATATCAAATTCACATTCCATATTATGGATGCTCCCAGAAATGTGATATTGTCGTACTATGTGTGCTATTGCTATCTTCATCATCAGCATGCCGAATGCTTTTCCTGGAACATTATAATAATAATATATTTTCCTGAGATTTCTTGTTGATAATTGTAAAATAAAGATAATAAATAAATAAATAGAATCTTTATTCATTATAATAAACTAGCTACTTCCTTTCACACGCTCTGCTCAGCTCCTATTGGTTTTAGCGCGATGTTTTATAGCCTATAGCCATCCTTGATAAATGCGCTATCCAATACAAAAACAATTATTCAAATCAGACTTGTAGTTACAGAGATTAGCGCGTTCAAACAAACAAACAAAAACAAACTATTTTATACTCTTATAAACAGATAAACATCTTAATTTAAAATCAGAGATCTCACTAAGTTTGAATGCCTGTACTAGGAAGACTATACTGTATCACAGGCGAAAGGAGCACTTACAATATTAGTAATTCTAGGACAAATTATTTATATAAACAAATTCCTTAACATAAGTAATCGATCAAAAGTAAAATAAAGGTGATTATTTAATATACATACATACATATATACACACGTACACAACTACATAACATGTTAGATAACTAAATATTAATATTATCATATAATAAATTTATTAAACAAGTAATTTATATTAGCTTAATCTGTCAAACACCGAGCGGTCACCGGTGACCGCGACCTATTGTTCTTTAATTGTGTCTATAAAATCGGTACTCGACGAGTTAAATACAAAACATAGACATACTTATATACATATACTAGCGGATCCGACAAACGTCCTGCATATCTACTTGAATGTATAAACAAAAAAATATTTAAATTAGTTCAGCCGTTTAGGATAAAACACTAAAATCCTAAAACTGACTGCAGCGCCATCTGCCGGGCTGATTTGTGAATCTAAACTACCTAGGGCGCCACTCAAACGCATACAGAAAAAATCATTTGGATCGGTCAAGCGGTTTAGGAGTTCAATGACATACACACGTACCGCAGAATTATATATATAAAGAAGAAAAGAAGATAAAACATTTTAGGAACTATAGTACTATAGGTATAATTTGATACATCAACAGAAACACAATCTAGTTTACAGTCCAAACGGTCATTCACTTGGTATTACAATAAAATATGCTTGAACAGCAACAAATTTTTGAGTACGCCAACCTGTTACGATGTTAATTAATGTGCAAGGAAAGGTTAATCAACTCTGTAATCTGAGAGTAGGTATGGCACTTTACGCGTCCTCATAATCGATAGAGTTGATATACCTATATTCAGCTATTTTCCTAGCCAGACAGTCAGCGTCTCCGGTTTTATGTTTATTGAGTTTTTTGTAATGAGAGCATGTTTTAGAGGGAACATTTAGGGGATTCCTTTTTAGTGCACTAGAAGATAATAAAGAATTAATTTTTTAAGAAAAATTTAGTAAGTTTTTTTAAATCTTTATTTAATTACAGGGTTTTTTCTATAAAGGAAACGACACCCCGATTATTGAATACAAAAAATAACAATAAGGACCCTTATAAAAGACTTAGATTCAAGTTAACCTATCCGAAACCTAACAGTACAAAAGTTAGTATTAAAGTCATCGCACATCTAATAAGCTCGCTTCCAATCCAGGAATTAAGCTGTTATTTAAATATGAATTTTAAATCGTTCGTCGTATGATTTGTCGTGATATATTTCATAACGACAATACAAAAACTAAAAAGCCGCCCGCGAGTTTAGGCCCCGCCGCCCGCGGGCAGAAAGCGCACTGTTGGCGCGACGCCGACGCGCCGACACGGCCAGTTGACGGCGAGCCGCCCGCCAGGCGCCAGTGAAACAACGTTACATCGTAGGTAGGTATTTTTGAGTATTAATACTCGCGGTAACCAAAAAGCCTCCACCTTGCGGCGTACTTACAGCACGCGGGCGGTACGCCGTAAGCGCGCTGGTGGCTAGGGTTAGGCAAATTCCAAACAACGCCGTGCCGCAGCCGGGCCGGAAGCGTGCTTCTTGGATGTGCGATAGATGAACTTTTTTGTCATAAAATTAATCTTTCTCACTTCCATAGATCACAGAATTATGTTAGGTATTGTACTGTTAGTATAAGGGAAGTCGTTGAGTATTTATTATTTAAAAAAAGAAAAGAATGATATGAAGATATCAAGTAAAATAATTACCTATGCAATTTCGTTTACCGATGCTAAACGGAGCGAAGAGGTTATGATTTTCAGGTAATCTGCTGGGGTCCAACCAGCGTTCTGGTTTGAACTCATTCACATCGGGACCCCAGAGAGGGTGACGATGGAGAGAGTATAAACCAATGATACAAGTGCTGTTGGCACGCAGCGTATAGTTTTCTGCAAGTTAAAAATTCTAGTCAATAAAATATTATATCTGAAATATGTGTACGCATATACCTCTACTGTGAGAATAAGAGTTGTATGAAAGATAGAAAGAAATTATATCAAACATCAAAGATTGGAAACACAATGGTTCCACAATGTCGAACTAGTGATTATTTTACAACAGTTGCCACGTGTAGTTTAACATACTAAGCATGTGGTCAATAACTGGGAATTATTTATCGGCTCATTTGATTTTAATGAATATTCGTTAAGTCAACAGAGATGTTGTTATTGTTTAGCATGTACCGAAATGTTCCCGTGCGAAACTTAAGGAGTTGCTTTTTGTGCTTATACAACACTCTTCATCTATTTGTTTAAAAACTTACTCAGTTTAACATCTGCTTCTAGTTTTCTCGCTATAACTGGAACAGAACTGTATAATCGTAATGTTTCTTTTATAACTGCTTCTAAGTACACAAGTTTTGGTAGGTCTTGTTTAGAAAAGTCATCGTCTTTGTTCGGCAAAACTTCTTGTATTCTGTAAAATATTACATTATTATTCGAATGTTTTTGATTTGCATAATTATTTAAGTAAATGACAGTCTTAGGCAAAGAGTAGAGTAAAGAATATAAAATACAAAGAAAGTTAAATCTAGTAAAAGATTAGCAATGTAGTTTACTCGTTATAAATTCTATTCTGTATATCTGGATATGACGCAATTGTCAACATCGCGAAGACCAAAGATGAAGACGTTGTGTCATATGATGCTGACACAAAACTATCTAAGTGTTCTCTGATAATTTCATCTGTGAACCCATTTTGCTCGTTTGCCATTTGAAGCATCTGATCGAGAACTGGTTCGAATTTACCTGAAAAATATTTTAATTTCAATAAGTTCGATGTAATTGAGTACCAGTAGTTAGATTTTGATACCATCAATTCTTTTTAATTTTGCCGAATTTAAAGTGTACAACAATGTACACTTTAAATTCATACAAATCTTATTTTATATACCGGATTTATTCTCAAACGATGATGTTTCTATTTTAGTCTTTATCTCGGCTTTCCTTTTCTGTATAATCTGAAAAAGTTAATACGATTTAAAATGGTAGACATTCTTCAATGTATTATTCTATTTAATCGGTCTAACTCTAGAGGAACTTACAGGACGAATTATATTTTTCAAGGAGTTTGTAAGTTTGTCTTGTTTGCGTTTCATTTCGCTTAAATTAAACACCCAATCGATATGCAACCACACTTTCTGGGCTCTGTCACAGTATAGAGAAAACACATCATCTATAGTCTCACAATACTTTCGGTTTAGATTCTTTTGATTATCGACTTCTAGCCCAAGACTAGATCCTGTAATGCAAGTAAAAATATTTTATTTATTGCTGTATAAAAATGAAGTACGAATACTATGTGCATTATTATATCGTCGAAAGTATTCGTTTCTGTAAGAAAATAAAATATTCGTGTCTAATGATTTAAAATAATCTACCAGACAGACATTAAAATAAAAATTTGATATCTACCCTATTGGGAGGCAAATGGAGAATCATACTTACGAATAGCAACGGAAACCGTAAAGCTGATAAAGTAGGGTCGGACGTCGAAAGGCTTTCTTCCCAGTTCATTTTTCAAACTTGAGACAATATTTCGAGCTTGAAAGTTTATTTCGTCAACGAATGTGTTCACGACTTGCTGGTTGAACGAAGGGTTTAATAATTTGCGGTGAGGTCTCCATATAGAAGCTAAAAAGAAATTAAGTTGTTGTACCTATTATTTATAGTTAATACGTAGAATTTTAAATCAATTAAACGCATTGTTGTTGTTGTGTTTCGTCATGTGAGTAAGAGTAAGTAAATTATCAGAGGTCCAATAAGCCCTCTCCCCAATTTCCTCAATCTCTGAATCCCCAAATTCCTAATCCCTAAAACGTGAGGTAACGCATTTGTAGAAGAGATAGGCGAGGGCTTGCGGTCTATCGTCACATTATATACAATTAAAAGATTTGTGCAATTACAGAGAATTTCCGGAAGTAGATTGACGATTGACTGCGATTCGACGTCGCATCGCAAAAATATGCGAGCTCCCTCTACGCATCGCAAGAACTTGCGAATTAATTCGCATCGCGCATCAAAGTCTTATCTTCCCAAAATCTTCTTTGTTTATCTTTCCTGAATCTCCTAAGCAACAACAAAAGTGCACGCTTCTTTGTACGATCCATGTCACGACCTAGTTTTCAATTTAAAATATGTTTAGTATGGTTGACAGTCGTCGAAGGTATGGTCACCTTGGGAGACGCCTTGTCGCACGAAATCCTATCGCAGCAATTCGTGTCGTAATTATTTGCGTTGCGAATTCGCATCGCATCGCAGTTTTGTGTGCGAGCCCTAAATCAAATTTCTTTTCTACCTGAGAATCGTGACCGAGATCATATTTGGTGCTTGTCATAATAATATGTCTTGTCTACTAGTCTGTAGATTCACGCCACGACTTACATTTGTCATGTCAATATGGAATGTATTCGCACTCACCATCCGCAGTTACCAATCCGTTATTTAAGAAGTCCTTGGCAAAGTCGTAGAGGTAAGGTTTATTAAGGCATATGTTAGATAGTGTAAGACAATCATCTGGATCGGTTATAACTGAAATAGTAAAAAAAAAACATTTTATTTATTTAATAGGTGCACAAAACAGAACCCCCCCTCACTCGTGTAAGTGAGGTTACCGGAGGCCCAATTACACTCCCCTTCCCCAATCTCTCCAATCCCTGAATCCCCAACGATCCTCAAACTCCTGATCCCCAAAAAGCCGGTAACGCACTTGTAACGCCTCTGGTGTTCCAGGTGTACATGGGCGACGCCGATTACTTACCATCAGGTGATCCGTATGCTCGTTTACCGGCTTATGTCATAAAAAAAATGGCTTTCGCAAATATGTGCACGCCTACTTTTTTTTTGATCTGCAAAATCTGCACTCAATCTGGTAACAATGACAGTTTGTGAATCACACAAAGAAACCTTCATACACATAATGATATATATCGAAATTACTTACCATAATACCTCATAAAGGCCATCCAGAATTCAAGGGCTCCGCCACGTTCAAATGATGTCGCGTTGATATTCTGAATAAATTTCCAAAAATCTAAAATGTTTAAAAATTAATTAATTTTTTTTGTTTAAAAAATTTGTTTTTTTACAATTGCTTAAAAAAATATTTAAATTTTTAAACTTAAATTTCTCACGTCTAACATTTGTCTACGTCAGGACAGTGCTGTGTATGTATTATAAAGAAATAATCTTAAATTTGAAACTTGTAAGTTTTCATAATAACAATATTTGCTATCCCAATGAATGAAAGAAAAATTAAATAATAGAATTATAAAGAGTGTCCCACACTACTGTAACGTAACATATGCGAGAGTTTGTGACAAATAAACTAAAGAAATAGGTAATAAATATAGAATATTTTTATATGAAGTTTAGTATGCACTATCTACCCATAAGCCAGGAATTGGTGTGTGCCCACAGAAATCCAATGGATATGGCGTATTCTCTCAGCACAGTTTACATTGTAAACTGTATGCATATTTTTATTTTTAGGATACATCCGCGACAACCTCTCAAAACCGCTGCAACTCCTGTAAGCCAGGATCTACAGTAGATACAACCATGACAACACCGGAACACTGAAATCCGGCGCGTAATCTCGCAACTGTACATCCGTTAAATATTTTTTAAAGAATACTTGGGTCGTGATCTATAATCGATTCAAAAGCCAAAAATATTGTTTTTAGAAAGTTTGTCGGTCTATATTTGTCCAGGATAATCTCAAAAAGTATTGCATGGATTTGCTTCAAATTTCGAATGAATATTACAAAGAGGTCGGGTCAACATATTATAGGCTACATAATTATTATTACACTGTCATCCACGTGTTTTTTTTTTAAGTGGGGAAAATCATCAAATGGCTGCTCCCACCTGGGTAAGGCGAGAGGGAGTGTCAGACTCTTACTGACTAAAAACCACCCCGTTCCTTCTCTTTCTGCACGTCGAGTCGGAGCCCCGGTTACCCGTTAGGTTCTCCGCGACCGTTAGGTCATCCACGTGTAGGAGCTGTGTATCTTTATTTCTCTTTCGCATTCTGTGAAAACGTGTAATCTAATATTTAAATGTTGTTTTTGATAAAGCCTAATATCTTGCTAGACATGCTTTTTAAAGTAGGTATGATTTTAAGGATAAATACGAATTCAAGTTAATTTAATAATATAATTTATTCATAGACTAGCTTCTGCCCATGACTTCACAGGCGCTCTTTAAAGGGGTTGCGGTTCATATGTAAAAATAGATTTTATTGGTTACAAATAGGCCGCATACCAATTTTTAGCTTTCTACCTCGGAAATTGCGAAATGCTGCATACAAACTCCCACCCCTATTTAAGGGAATTGGAGTGTTAGAATGAGACAAAAAGTAGCCCATGTTACTAAACATACTTTGAGCAATGTCCACTCAAAAAAATCGCGTCAATTTTTTGCTCCGTTCTGCCGTGAAAGACGGAAAATCAAACTGACACACACACACACACACACTTATGTTATTAGCAAAGATTTTTACGTCATCTAACTCTTTCTTGACAAGTGACTTTAAAAGGCAATCGATTGTTGACCATTCTTTTGTTATCACGTTAACATTAGAGGTAGTTAAGCAAGTAAGCAAAGAGGTTAACGGCAGTCTCTAGAGAGAAGTCTAAGTTTAAAATATGTATTTTCAGTTAAATTGAATTCGTACTTTTTTCACATCACAAGTAGTCCAGTAATTTAGTAGTTCTATCTGGAATATTTTCCGGGAGTATGGAAATTAATATTTTTGTTGATTTTGATGTGCCCTTTGTAAGTGCTTCGCTACCTTGGATAAATGGCGACCAATAACAGTTTTTTACAATATCTCTTGTTCTGTGTATTTTACGAGAAAATCGTTTACAACCAAATTAAACTACTCATAATTTTTGTTTAGATAGCTTTTTGGTAATATACGAGTGAGTAGTTTTGGCGCCAGAACACAGCGAAGAACATTTTTATAAGCATTTTGGGAAAAAATAATTTCTCTACCACGTGAACGTACCTACAGCAAATGGCGCAATTTTTTATAGTGTAGTATTTTATAGGTCTAATGTTCATGTGATTGTGGTTTAGGGTCTTACCATAATCTTCGACCGTTGACTGTTTCTGATGAAAGAAAGAAAGAAAATAAGAAAGAAAAACAGTTTATTTGCACCATTACAGAAAAATAAGAAAAAAATCGTTTAAAAAAAACAACAATGTACACGGTGCAAAAAGGCCAGTGCTCAGCTAAAATGCCATGTCACGAGCGCGATTGATGAACCGCAAAAAGAAGATTTCGTCTTAAACTGTCAAACTCCGCGAGGACACCGGTGACCGCTACCTATTGTACTTTAATTGTGTCTATAATGACGGTACTCAAAGGGCACCCATCGATATGTCGTAGTCGTTATTTGTAAACTAAAATACTTGTAATGAATCTGCAGAAATGCATCACAAATAATCCTGGCGAAATTTTAATCGGTGACTTCTCGATGTGTACCAGGTAAAAAGCACACAAAAACTATTTTCGTCCAAGATGGCGGCGTGAGCGGCCCACGTACAAAGGTGCAAAACTAAATTCGAAAAGAGCACAGAAAAATCTACAAAATTTCCGATTATCAAACTCCTGGAAAACTTTCAAGTTGACCCTCATATTTACTTAAGTCTTGGTTCTCCTGGAAAACTTTCTCGTAAAACAATATAATCGTAAAACAATAATCTCATAAAGTCATATAAAAACTAATTACACAGATTTGAGTAATAATAATAGTCCTTGAACTAGTATTTCATTTTAGTCCGTCGAGGCCAACATTATGAAATTTTGCCGATCTCTTTTAGATAATGTTAAACCGATGTGCCAAATGATCTACCAAAAATATCTTTATATTGCTTACGCTGTGAAACTATGGACAATAGAGTCAAGTGATGTACTAATCTAATGGAGCACATTATATCAACGTAAAAAACCGCGATTTATGTAACTGTTCCAAATATGCCACAATAACTATTGTCCCATTTATAAATGTTCAATAGTAACGTTGCGCCGGTACAACCCAAGACACATTATTAGTACCAGAGTAATATCTTAGACACCTCACAAAAACGGAAACTATGTGTTAAATCCCGGAACTGTCTGTTTTTTAAACCACTGAATCTATTTACCTGAAATCCAGTACAACTATAGTTTTAGACCGGAGTAAGAACGTATAAAAGTTTTTATCCCAGAAATCTCACGAGAACGGGAACTACGCGTTAAAATCCCGCGACTCTCTATCTTTTAAACCACTAACTATTTGATTGAAATTCAGTATAACGATATCCAGAAATGGACGCCCATGAGTTTTCAACCCGAAAATCCTAATGAGACCGTAATAATCTGCCAGAAAGAAAGAAAGAAAAAACATTTATTTGACTAGACACAAAACAAAGATAAGAAAAAAATAAAAATACAGATATTTACGTAAACAAAATACTAATAATAAACTTAAAAGAAGAACAGAATAAAAAACATCACAGTGTAACAAAATAACAATACGATAATACCAAAATTTAAATATACAAAAAAAAACAGAATAATAATATTAATTTGCGCGTGTAACACTATCTACCTTTGAAACCATTGAAGCTATTTGAGTGAAAATAATTCGGTACAATGATAGTTTGAGATCCAGGAATGTACACCTGGGTGTTTTTTACCCGAAAATCCCATAAGACCGACAATTACGCATTAAAATTACGTCACTCTATATCTTTTAAGTTACTGTACCCATTTCATTGAAATTCGGTACAAAAATGGTTTGCAACCCAGGAAAGGAGATAGAATAGCTTTTGTCACTGAAATCTCACGAGACGAGTACTGTACGGGTTAAACCTCTATGGGATTGTTTATTTTATAAAACTAAGAAAATAAATTAATTTCACATAACATAACATTTATTATACACATTATACCACTGTACAATGTAACACCCACTTTTCACTATTTATGTTATGAGTCCCATGTAATAGGGGGTGAGCCTATTGCCATATATACCGGGCACAATTCCAAACTCCGTGCTACTACTGAGAATATTTAAAAGATAAATATTTAATGGACTGCACGGTTGGTGCGGTGGCTGAGCAACCGGCTGCCGTGCACCGTGTCGTGGTTTGATTCCCGCACGAAACAACACTTTGTGTCATCCACAAACTGTTGTTTCGGGTCTGGGTGTCATTGTGTATGTGAACTTGTATGTTTGTAAACGCACCCACGACACAGGAGAAAATCTTAATGTGGGGCAACTTTAAAAAATAACCCAATACATATAATATATAACCTATGTGGGTAATGAATCGATTCTGACATTGATTACCGTGGAATGTCCCTTGGTAAACACTAATTCAGAATTCAAAATTCTACCATAAGCCATAATTCTAAGTTGCGGGCGATACCTAGTTGCAAATAAGACACTGCTTCGTTCAAGAAGGTTATATTGTTGGTAAAAATTGATTTTTTTTGATCTAATAAACATATTTTACTCACGTTTGCGGTCTCCGAAAATAACATGGGCATGTCCTATAATCGGGAGCAAGCCTGGCATCATAGGAGGTGCATCAGGTTTCTGTCTGAACCATGTCGTCCACACAGCTAGTACCACGAAACATAACAATACTAATCCCAATACTACGTACATTTTGAGAACCTAGCACCGATTGTAGCCTGATTCTTGTAAATTTCTTTTAAATATGTTGTCAGCTAGTTTGCATCTATTATATTTATATTGTATCGTGGCTGCACTTGGCTGTTTAGCAAATTAACTGGTTTAGCAAAACAGGTAACGAGGTAGTATAGTTTCTGTTGGTACACAGACTGTTGCCCGTAGCTTTACTTCACTAGGATCAGGATTTCAAGAACATTGACTGGATTCGGACCAAATGCTGCTCAGGACTTAAAGGATAATGTCCAAAATGGCCCTGTGTAATAAAGAGTATCAGAATCCTTACTTACATTATAAATCGGAAAATGAGTTTGTTTGTTTGTTTGTTCCGATTTCACACCGGAACTACTAAACCGATTGCTTTGAATTTTTGCAGACGTAAATTTAGAAGTCTGGATTAAATAATAGGGTACTTTTTATCCCGGAAAATTTGATATTCCTGAGGGAAAACAAAAGTATTGGTGTAGATGGCGCTGTATGTATTGGTATATGTCACATAGGCTACTTTTTATCCTTTTGTGACGCGAGCGAAGCCGCGGGTAAAAGCTAGTATATTATAATTAATCCCCTATTTTATTATTGCAGATACTTCTGTAACACGGACTAGCTGTATTCCAAAACGTACTTTTAATAGAATTTAACGCGATTAATACCATTAGATCGCCATCTTCGACTAATGTCAAATGCCTTTGCCTAATGTAATAAATAAAAATCGTCGTAATAGGTAGTTAGAATAATATTATACAGTATTATAATATCAAAACTTTTTTACTTCCATACAAACATTCAACATTCGTTCAAACATTCGTTATTCTGGTTACATTATAACCTCAAAATCTGCTACTTTATTTGGAATATATTTTTTCTCAATTCTAGGAGTCTACAAATGATAGAGAATACAATACATAATTATCCGATACTCTTGGCTCCAGGGCCAACAATGTATGGACGCAGAGCAATGTCCTTTAATTGTAATTTTTTTACCGGTTTCAAATACAAAAAAATGTATGTATGTACATATGCATGTATGTATGTATGTTAATATGTATGTATGTACTATGTATGTATACGATAGTCATTATTAAAACTGTTGTCCTTAAACGTCATTTTTTTGTGGATTTTTGTCTACACTAATTATAATAGTATAAAGAGGAAAGATTAGAGTTTTTGTTTGTATTGAATCCGCTCCGAAACTACTAGACCGATTTAAAAAGTTCTTTTATCGTTGGAATTCTATATTATCAATGGTTAACCTTTGATTATACAATACGTAACAATAACCCTATTGTTTTACCTACGTTCTTAAGAATCGGCATATGGTCATAATAAAGCAAGTAATTTATAAAAAAAAATCAACAAAAATAATTAAACTAAATATTTAACTATTAATATTTGTGATGGTTAAATGATTTCTTACTTCTGCAATACTGTATGAAGAATAGACATATGAGTAGTACATTACCACCAATCTCTTTAATCAGTGCCGCTACGCGCTGCACCGAGACACCGCGCTGCGCATAGATATGTGATTTTGACACCTCGACTAGCCAATATTTTTTTAAATTACAATTTCATTAATGATGTGCTTTTATCGTTGCATCGTCGTGGTGGCTCAGAGGTTTAAGACGCCTGCTTCTCATGCATGAGGGTGCGGGTTCTAAACCTACCAACGGCAAGTACTAATGTGACTTTTTCCGAGTTATATGTACTTTCTAAGATTATTTAGACACCACTGACAAAGGGTGATGGAAAAACATCGTGAGGAAACCTCGGCTTATAATTTCTAATTATAAGTTTGAAATCGCCAACCTGCATTGAGCAAGCGGTGATTAATGCTCTAACCTTCTCCGTGTGAGAAGAGGCTTTGCTCAGCAGTGGGCATTTATAGGCTGTTAATGTATGTAATGTATGTATGTATGTATGTGCTTTTAGATAAACGTATTTGTCCCTGAAAGGAACAACAGGGTTTTGTTACATATTGTATAATGGAGTGTCAGTTCACGAAAATTGGTCCAAAAATTTGCAGTGAACTGATCACTGCTATATACTTTCCCGTCAAGTAGTACCAATCGTGTCACTTAGGCGTTACTACGTGCATGCACGCTACAAAATAATTTTCTAAACAAAAAAAGTACACTGCAAAGATGGCCACTTACTACTATAAATGACGGTTATGAATAGGTTGCTTATGGGACGACGTGCTCCATCGTAGACAGCATCATTGCTTACCACCAGGCGAGATAGTAGTCCAATGTCGCCCCATTAAATATACATGTAAACAAAATGCGTTACACTTCATTTAGTTTGTATAGTTTGGATTTGCCGTGTAATAACTTTGAGGTATTTTTGATCTGTGAAATAACTAATCTGTGGAGTAAACTGTCATATTGAATGACTGTGAAAAATATGAAAAGTAAAATGGTTAATTGTTATGTACCTACAAGTAAGAATTTTAATGTAATTATAATAATTGATAAGAACTGGTGAAACAATAGCTCTAAATGTTGTTTCTCTTTTCAGGTAAAATTAGTGCATAGTTATTATTAAAGAATGTTTTGTAAAAGCTTTAAAACTAGATTTTGTAAATAGGTAATAAAATAAAATTGTCTCTTTTCAGAGCAACTAAACTTTGGTTATAGTTTTACTGTTCACAAGGACAATATAATATCATATTATATACATATAAAAAAAAAAAGTCTAAACAGATCACTTATCTATTGCTCTGTATTAAAAAATTACATTATTCAATATATTATGTTTTGAGCCAACTAATTTCCGCCATATTTTACTAGTGTTGCCAATTTATTTTTCAATATTTCCTTCAGAGGCGCATGACGTCTCATAAAGAGGGAAAAATGAAAAAAATCTTACTTTCTACTAAATTAAAAATTAAATAATATGTTTAATATTTATTGAACTAACAATTTTTTTATATGAATATTTAATTATTCTATTCATACGAAAAATAAAGGGGTTATTCATAACGAGCTGCGTGACGTCGCCGCGACCGCGCGCGCTGCCCTGTAGTTCGAAACTAGTAGTTAATTCAAATGGAGTCTTAAAGAAAGAAAGAAATAATATGAATTCATTCGTCACCAGGCATGAACCATCAAATATAATAAACTGAAAAGTAATTATTACTTTCGCTTAATAATTTATTACTTTCGCTCAATCTAACAACTGCTTCAATATCTTTCTGCAATTGCTCACGCTCATTAATATTAGAAATAGAGCGAAATAACTTTAGATCGTCAGCAAACATAAAGCATTCAGTTTTGAACAAGACACTGGGTAAATCAAAGATCATGATTAGAAACTACGTTGGTCCCAATGTACTACCTTGGCTTACTCCCGACCTTGTGTAGTATTATTGTGACTGAAAACCACCTACCTACACGCACTGTTTTCGGTAATCTACTATGAATCTCAGAAGTTCCGTCGAGAAGCCCATTGACGCAAACTTAGTTAGAAAGATGTCATTGTCCACTAAATCGAAAGCTTTGGAGAAATCAAAATATACGGCGTCAACTTGACCACCAGCTATCATTTTATTAATAGCAGTAGGGAAGTGAAATAAATATGTCTCAAGGGGGGTGATAACTGTCAACAGGTACCAGCAGCTCAGTATCCGATATAATAATATTTACATTTCGAGGTTTACGGTTGTCATAACAAAGTCTAGTGTGCAGTCAAATTTGTTGCGTACCTATATTGTTACGTTGATGTTATTTCCAGTAATCAAGAAAAACATCAAACTGAATCTTTACAGAGTTACTACTAGATTTTTAGTTGAAATCTCCAACAATAAAAAAATCGCAGTATGAATATGCACTAACTGCTGTTAGTAGTAGCACTCAGATATTGCTTAGAATTATAGTTAGGAGGCAAATACATAACAATAATGAATATTTTGACATTTTACGCGTAACTATAGCGAACTCTTTATCATCAGTTCAATCATAGATATTTGTTACTTTAACCTCATAGCAACTTTTCACTGCCAACAAAACACCCCACTAATAAATTTTGAATCATAAAGGGAACTATTTAAAAAAGTTTCAGTTATAGCAACGAAGTAATATGAAGATGACATGGCATTACTGTAAAATTCTGATGTTTTGTCCGGAGACCCCTCACATTCTGATAATACATTATAATTATTTTACTGGGTTTTGTCTTAATTATTTTTTTAACGTATAGTAAGTCTGAGTTGCATTTTCCAACGGTCGAGGATATAAATACACTAGAAATTTATGAAGAGGCATTCATATAAAAATTAAACAGGTGTCTTTTAATGTGCTTTTAATCCTTTTCTGTTAAGTTTACCAGTACTTTGTGAGAGCATGTCAAGGGTGAGGTAGCAATTAGAATCAGAACAGGTAGCATAATCATTGTTTTTCGGATCCATGTGCAGAAGATTATTGAATAATTCAATGTTGTAGTTATATGGGAGACCCACAGACATAAGTAGACGCACAGACAATTAAATTAGTGTGAGTTACATGTTCTAACGGTTTCTTAATAACATTTACCATTTCCTTATCGAACATGACAAATCGAAGCCGCAATGGCTTCTCCTAGCTCCTAGCATAACAACACAGAGTAATCATTGATATTAAAATTCGATATCTTATTATCCAGATTATTCAACAATTGCAATACATTTAAATTTGGAAGAACATAACGACAATAGTAAAATTGTGAACCGTGTATCCTCCGCACCTGACAGTGTTTTATAGGAACTCATATTAGTTAAAATACATAGCTGTAGAGTAGGGTATTGGGGTAGTATTCACCGGCCGACAAAGTAAACAAACAGCGTTTCTATAGCATATATTGTAATGTAAAACAATAGGACAATTCTGTGAGCACCTTTTTCGAGAGGACGAATCAAAGAGTATAATGTATATAGGAGATAGAACGAACGAAGGGCGAAACTTGAAAGAAATTGACATTACTGGATTCAGTGGAATTTG